TTGTATTTTATTTGTAGTTCTTTTAATGAATAAGTTATTTCCAATTTATGGGGGATTTTTGATTTAATATCTACACATTTCTTTGATTTAGTATCTTGAAACTTTAGCTGTACATATTTTTACTCGGAGAGAATTTTTTTTCGTTATTTTATGCTAGGAATATTATAAATATGTTTCAATCAATATTTTTTAAACATATTTTACACATTCAATCAACAGACTTTGCTAAAAAATGAAGATACATTTAAGAATTCTAGATAATATTTACACATTTGTTTTTTGCCTGAAAATCGTACATCTTGATCAATATCCCAAATTTTACATCACTGACCCCAAGTTTTCCTTACATTATTTTAAATTACACAATACATTCAACCGATCAGAACTTAGGTAATAAAAAGCTTGATACAAGAAAATATTTTTATTGCCTGTCTAGATTTTAATACCCCAAATATGATATTTTTAGTGCATAAACATCTCACAATACTTAACGTGCATTTATCAATAGTAAATATTATTCAAACTATTTTACATCAAATAAGATTAATATGATTACATCTGGTAAAATATGATTAAGATTAACGCAAAAGGGACTTTGTTTAATGTATTTTTAAAAAAATTAAAAGTTAATTAAATCATAACAAGAATCGCTTTAAAATAGAAAGATTGCAGAATCTTGGGGGGAAGCAGTAACTATGCATTGATGTTAACTCGATGGCTTGGGATAAAAATAGAAGAAAACTGATGCTGGACACAAGTGTATGTTGAACTTTTCACCGCTCTGAAGGGTGTGTGAGGTTCAATGTGATTTACTTTATTGTTTATCTATTTGTAATGGTTTATACATTGTAAGATACCAGCTTGGTCAAGAAAAAAGGTGTACTCAATCAAATAGTATGATGCCAGTGACCAAAGGTCAGTCGTTTGTATAAAATAACTGCAAAAATAAAACGAAAAGATGATGCAAAATCTTTAACATGAATTTTAGAGTACAATTAAAAATTAAATAATCTTAGAGGACGGTAAAATTTCAGTTTAAATTCAAATCAAAATTTAAGGTCATTGTTAAAATTTTGAAGAAAAGGAAATATGGTTAGGAATGTTGGAGCTTGTACGGATTACGGGGTGTATAAACGCGGTGGGAGAATCTTGACAAAGTCGTGCGTGGCGATTGTTGCATTTATACAGGTAAGATACTTTCGTATACTACTCGGTGTGTGTGTGAGGGTGTGTGTATGTGTTAAATTTTCAGATAGCTCAGTTTATTTACATATATATTGATATATATTATAATTTTAATGGTAACAATTATAATAATGTTTATTATACTGTGTTTTGTGTATCTCTTGTAATTATAAAATTATAATAAAATGGGTTAATTAAATATAAGGTGGCGAATGAATTGTGTCTCTTTTGTTTGCATTTATACAGGTTGGGTAATAGGACACTCCCCATAACCTGCAATGCACTATGGTCAGGGAGATCATTATCCACTGGAGGTTTAACTTTTAATTTGGAGTGTCATTTTGGATGCCAAAAATAGAAAGTGATAAAATATTCAACGAATGTTAAAATTAATTTGAGTACAGAGGATTGTGAGAATTGTCCTCCTTGGTCTAACGGATTCCCGACATTCAATTATTACGTAACAGGACTAATGATGATTTAATGCATAACAGGCCTCGAAACAAAATAGGACTTCCCAATACTCAAATACTAACGATGTCTGAGGTTAAGCGAGTTCTAAGGGGCTGAGTCCATTATGGTGCCAACCATGTTATAATACACTATTATTACTCTCACTGGCAACCATTTTGACATAAAGGATTGACAGGAAGCCTAAGTGACGATAGAGTGTCCATTGTTCGTCTGTTTATCTGTCAGTCTGTAATTTTTTTTTTCAAAATAATATTTTTTTAAAAAAATGGTACACAAGTGGATTTCATTAATATGCATAATTATATTTATCAATAAATGATATTGCCATGGTTTTTGAAAATAAGAATTCTTTCAAAAATGTACTCTTCTAACTTTTTGGTCTGATTTCAATGAGACTGTTAAACAAGTAGACTTAACCATTTAAGGCTCATGATAATTAATTCAACGTTTAGGTGTTGCCTGCCATATCGACTAAAAAGGTATATATAAAACTCTATCAAAATGCTCTCCTCCCCCAGTTTTGATTTGATATCAATAAATCTTGGTGTATGTTTTAAAACATTAGGATACATGAACCTGTAAAACTGTAAAAGTGAAACTTAAAAAGGGGTTTTAAATCCAGGCACTTATAGATTTCTTAGTCCTATCTGAGGCCATCGAATCTGTCCTAAGTTAAGATATATCTTAAGATTTCTCCTAAAGTTAAGACATTGAAAGACTCGTCCTAGGATGATCGAACTTAAGAGTAACTTTATGCAACTTTCATTTCTTATAAGACACTTAGTACTAGTGGTGGAGGGGCAGGCGTGAAGTGTTCCCTCTCTCTCTCTCTCTCTCTCTCTCTCTCTCTCAAAACGTTTATTACGTCTAACCAACCCCCTTGAATTTAAGAATCATTTGTCACAATGTCCAGAAGTATTTATTCTGCATGAAATGGAGGGAGATTCTACCGCACTATTAGATAAGCTAGCTATAGCTTACCAGCGACTAGTGAACTGTCCGCAACATTACTAATCTATTTATTTGTTAGGTTGTTAATTATATAAAATTTAATTTATCTAATTTGATGTTCAAATATAAGTCTCCCATTTATTATTTTTCTCTATTATATAAAAATAGTATACAATTAGTTATATATAGAATACCTTTTAATTAGTGTATCTTCAGATATCAAACGAGGGGGTTGTCCACAGAGTCTGATATCTGAAGATGCACGAGTTAAAAGGTACAGTACCAACCAGACCCAATTTGACAGAAAAGATTGTCTTCATTTTAATTAATAATTAGATTTTATTTTGAAGTGGTAAAAAACGGCATTGAATGTTTGTTTGTTTTTGTTTTTGTTTTTGCATAATTTAACAGCTTTGATTAATTAAATAAATAGCTTAGTTTCAAACACCTGTATTTACGTTAAATACACGGATTAAAGAATCATTTTCTGACTTCCGTTTTTTTTTTTTAAACTGGCAAAACTTTTTATTATTACCAATATTGTATTAATTATTCTAATTGATTTTACACTGCAATGGTGCGAAATCGGCAGTTGACGTATATTAATATCCCTTTTTTCCAGAAACTAACCGTACTTGTTAAATTTTTGGAAAATCCTTGTTGATTTTACTTTTACAACTTCTCTGCTGAAAGTAAACAAAACTACTGCAAATTCGGAATACAAGGGGCGGGGCTTTCTTGTCACTCAGAATCATTTTCACTCATGGGTGAACAAAGCAGTGCCAGAAAGCAGTCCCAGAGACCGCTGGGTTTGCTTTCTAGAGCAATCTCACAGCGGTCACAGAGCAGTCCCACAGCGGTCCCAGAGCAGTCTCGGGGACTGCTTTCTGAGACTGCTAGGGTGTCAGGTTGGGTCTGGTTGGTATTGTACTCTATATGTTCTGAGGTACTGAGTTACCCATGATCTATCTTTAAGGATTATATTAAAAATCTCTTTACGTCCATTCTAGTTAGGACATTCTTAAGAGAGCTTCTATGTCCATCTTAAGAACTCTCTTAGAGCCACTCAAGTTTTGTCCAAAGACATCTCTTAAGTCATGTCTTAGGACCATTCTAATGACACTTTCGATAGTATGCATGCTGTACAGTTACAGTTATTACATCTTCACAATGTCGAGGATTTGTGATATTGTTCCTCTTAACCTTTTCACAAACCCTTGACAAATGTCGCTATTTCTGGCATCACAAATAAGCATGAATCCATTTACTTGTGAAGGTTTTGTGAAGGGTATTTCAATCAACTATTTCACGCAGAAAATTTTTCCTAGTTTTTTACTTTGTATTTTTCATTAAAACATCGAAAAAGTTTTCATTTTTCTTTCCCTCATTCCATCGGAGATCGTGTTGTAAATGTGCCTGAACCACGTATTTATCTTATATAGTAGACCTGCATCCTTTGCAATTCATTGCTCGCAGTAATCATCGAAGTGACAGTCAATCTTACGGTGCCAGGTAGAAAAAATATTTTATCTGGCGGCCGCCAGAAAATTATTTGGCGGCCGCCAGTTATTTATGTGGCGGCCGCCAGATAAAATAATTTGCTACCTGGCACCTACCGGCTTCCGTACAATCTTCATCAACTGAAGTTATGTAAACTTATTTTTAGGAATCACCGAAGTGCGCAATACTAACAAAATCCAGATGAGGTAGATTCCTCGACCTGTTTTCAGATACTAAGTAAACTTAATTTTCATTGATGCGATTTAGTAAATGGGTTTTAAATTCAGGTTACTAAAATGGAGCAATACATATATTTACCAGCACAGTTCTAACTTACTCATTCAATATATGTCTTCCTTATGCTGGATTGCACATAGACCGTCCAGAGATACTTCAGATTTCTTTGGACAGCAGTATAGGTGGCTGAAAGGGTAAAAAGACAATAATGCAAACCTAACAATTAATTTTGCAAAAAAAAAAATACTGAAATACAAAACATGCAGCTTAAAATAAAATCAGCAGGCTCAGTTGCAAAGTCAAGTGACTCCTTTGCAAAACGAAGGATCACCAATGTAAAACCAACAGTCATTAACTGAGTCTGTTGATTTCATTTTAAACGGGTTGTTTTCTTTTTCGGTATGTTTTTTTTTTAATTGTTTGTTTTGCATAAAAGTCTTTTTTACCCTTTCCGCTGCCCATATTGCAGCATTTGTCCTCAGAAATAGTCACGTGATGATCCTTTTCAAAAGCCAAACCATTGCTTTTTTTTTTTTTTTTTTTTTTTTTTTTTTTTTTTGTTCTTTCCTTTTCTCCTTTTGATGCTGTCCATCTAATTGCAACCCTTGGTGTGGAATTTTAGTTTATAATTAAGACATTTACTTTCATTTTCTCAATTTCTTTTGACAGCGATGGTACAAGGCCAATTTTAGAAATAAATAAAATTCTGCAAAAGCATTGGCCCAGAAGACATTCAGCTTGTTTTCAAGTAAGTGCTTTATGAATTTTTATGTTATAACAATGCATCACAAATCATTTTCCCTATATCTATCTCTGTTAAAATATATCTATTTTTTCTTTTCAAAACCACATTGTGATTCGCTTCATATCGAGTGTAAGAACATTGTGTGATGTGTTCTTAATTTCGTGTGTGAATACACATTCCAATCTTTCATCTGGACGAGTTTTTGGGAATGCATATAAAACAAACACAAGTGCACAGTTTTCAGCATTTTTTTAATTACAAAATGTTGTATATTAAAAAGAAAAGATTACACATTTTACAAAACTAAGGAATAACTTTGTTCACGCTTATTTGGAAAATTAGTGATTGCTCTTATATATTCGTCAACTTTGAAAGATGCTGCTACAAAATTCTGTATTTTGAAGAAGAAAAAGACATTTTACTGGGAAGATACATTATGTAAATATAAACAATGAAGTGTGTTTCATTTTCATCACCCTGTGATTAAATGAAAAGTAACTTGTATTAAAGTTTATAAGTACTCTAATTTTGAACCAAATGAAAAGCTTGTTATAGAAGAAAAATTTGCACAATAGTTGAATATGCACTAAGAATAGGTTTTTAGTTATCATCATACGTTTAAATACAATACAATTTAGCAAAAATTAAAATATGATAGGTATTTTCACATGCCAAGAAATCCCGTCCATTTTTCCACAGCGATGAAGTCAATAAAAGTGTAATTGATGCAAATCACCCATATTCCCCTAACGCTGGCGAGACAATTAACGGCAGCAGATTTGAGGGGGTGGATCCTAAGTTTTCCGTTTTCTTAGTCAAAGAAAAATAAACTTCTACCCCAGGAAGTAGCCTCCTATGCCCTGAAAAAAATAGTTCCTGTCAAAAACCTTTATTTATTTACAAAATATGTAAAATGCACTAGACACAGGTACCAAAATTGTAAAAATAGACTGGAAGGAAATTAAAAAAAGATTCAAAAGGAAAAAATAATAATTTTATATGTATGGAACTACAATTGACTAAGTTCATTTTCATTGGTCAATTACCGCTATGATACCTTAATAAGGCGCGAGACTTCCACAACAACCAAGTTCATCGTGCCCGATGTTAATTTATACTAGGAAAAAAATATTTTGATATATAAACACTGAAAAATTTGAAAGGCGTCTAATTTTTACTGAACAATTAATTAGTTCACTACAATTTATTTCATTCTTTTTCATTTTTTTTTTTTTTTTTTTACTTTTTTAACCGCATATGATTTGCATGGAAAATCGCCCCCCCCCCCCCTAAAAAAACCAACAGGAAAAAAGGTGCAAAGGCTTCTAAATAGTTAGTATTCTAGCTTTAATTTCAAACCAGTAAAACTTAAGATCCTTCCCTCAAAACTGCTGACATTAATTGCCTCGCACACATCTCCCTGGGGAAAAATCACAGATTAACGCTAATTCCGCTTTTATTGAGTTCGCTCTAAAACTAGAATGCGTACCTTTTCTTGGCATGGTAAAAGACATCCCCCCCCCCCCCTTTTCCGTGCTTCTGTTTGTTTGAATTTCATTTCCAATGCATCAAATTCATTTGAAATAATATATTTAGACAGAAAATGACTTAATGTTGATTTACTGGGTCGAGTGAAATGCATGAAACCTGCAGAACACCATAATCAATAGACAAAAGTAACACTCTCTAAAATTATTTATGTACAAATTATTTAAAAATTTAGAAAAAAAAACCGCTCCTTAAAAGAGCAAATCAGGACAAGGCCAATGATCTTATACATGTATCTACACAATTTTTCTGACCGTAAAAGACATCCCCCCTTTTCCGTGCTTCTGTTTGTTTGAATTTCATTTTCAATGCATCAAATTCATTTGAAATAATATATTTAGACAGAAAATGACTTAATGTTGATTTACTGGGTCGAGTGAAATGCATGAAACCTGCAGAACACCATAATCAATAGACAAAAGTAACACTCTCTAAAATTATTTATGTACAAATTATTTAAAAATTTAGAAAAAAAACCGCTCCTTAAAAGAGCAAATCAGGACAAGGCCAATGATCTTATACATGTATCTACACAATTTTTCTGACCATGCCAAGAAATCCCGTCCATTTTTCCACAGCGATGGAGTCAATAAAAGTGTAATTGATGCAAATCACCCATATTCCCCTAACGCTGGCGAGACAATTAACGGCAGCAGATTTGAGGGGGTGGATCCTAAGTTTTCCGTTTTCTTAGTCAAAGAAAAATAAACTTCTACCCCAGGAAGTAGCCTCCTATGCCCTGAAAAAAATAGTTCCTGTCAAAAACCTTTATTTATTTACAAAATATGTAAAATGCACTAGACACAGGTACCAAAATTGTAAAAATAGACTGGAAGGAAATTAAAAAAAGATTCAAAAGGAAAAAATAATAATTTTATATGTATGGAACTACAATTGACTAAGTTCATTTTCATTGGTCAATTACCGCTATGATACCTTAATAAGGCGCGAGACTTCCACAACAACCAAGTTCATCGTGCCCGATGTTAATTTATACTAGGAAAAAAATATTTTGATATATAAACACTGAAAAATTTGAAAGGCGTCTAATTTTTACTGAACAATTAATTAGTTCACTACAATTTATTTCATTCTTTTTCATTTTTTTTTTTTTTTTTTACTTTTTTAACCGCATATGATTTGCATGGAAAATCGCCCCCCCCCCCTAAAAAAAACAACAGGAAAAAAGGTGCAAAGGCTTCTAAATAGTTAGTATTCTAGCTTTAATTTCAAACCAGTAAAACTTAAGATCCTTCCCTCAAAACTGCTGACATTAATTGCCTCGCACACATCTCCCTGGGGAAAAATCACAGATTAACGCTAATTCCGCTTTTATTGAGTTCGCTCTAAAACTAGAATGCGTACCTTTTCTTGGCATGGTAAAAGACATCCCCCCCCTTTTCCGTGCTTCTGTTTGTTTGAATTTCATTTCCAATGCATCAAATTCATTTGAAATAATATATTTAGACAGAAAATGACTTAATGTTGATTTACTGGGTCGAGTGAAATGCATGAAACCTGCAGAACACCATAATCAATAGACAAAAGTAACACTCTCTAAAATTATTTATGTACAAATTATTTAAAAATTTAGAAAAAAAAAACCGCTCCTTAAAAGAGCAAATCAGGACAAGGCCAATGATCTTATACATGTATCTACACAATTTTTCTGACCGTAAAAGACATCCCCCCCTTTTCCGTGCTTCTGTTTGTTTGAATTTCATTTCCAATGCATCAAATTCATTTGAAATAATATATTTAGACAGAAAATGACTTAATGTTGATTTACTGGGTCGAGTGAAATGCATGAAACCTGCAGAACACCATAATCAATAGACAAAAGTAACACTCTCTAAAATTATTTATGTACAAATTATTTAAAAATTTAGAAAAAAAACCGCTCCTTAAAAGAGCAAATCAGGACAAGGCCAATGATCTTATACATGTATCTACACAATTTTTCTGACCATGCCAAGAAATCCCGTCCATTTTTCCACAGCGATGGAGTCAATAAAAGTGTAATTGATGCAAATCACCCATATTCCCCTAACGCTGGCGAGACAATTAACGGCAGCAGATTTGAGGGGGTGGATCCTAAGTTTTCCGTTTTCTTAGTCAAAGAAAAATAAACTTCTACCCCAGGAAGTAGCCTCCTATGCCCTGAAAAAAATAGTTCCTGTCAAAAACCTTTATTTATTTACAAAATATGTAAAATGCACTAGACACAGGTACCAAAATTGTAAAAATAGACTGGAAGGAAATTAAAAAAAGATTCAAAAGGAAAAAATAATAATTTTATATGTATGGAACTACAATTGACTAAGTTCATTTTCATTGGTCAATTACCGCTATGATACCTTAATAAGGCGCGAGACTTCCACAACAACCAAGTTCATCGTGCCCGATGTTAATTTATACTAGGAAAAAAATATTTTGATATATAAACACTGAAAAATTTGAAAGGCGTCTAATTTTTACTGAACAATTAATTAGTTCACTACAATTTATTTCATTCTTTTTCATTTTTTTTTTTTTTTTACTTTTTTAACCGCATATGATTTGCATGGAAAATCGCCCCCCCCCCCTAAAAAAAACAACAGGAAAAAAGGTGCAAAGGCTTCTAAATAGTTAGTATTCTAGCTTTAATTTCAAACCAGTAAAACTTAAGATCCTTCCCTCAAAACTGCTGACATTAATTGCCTCGCACACATCTCCCTGGGGAAAAATCACAGATTAACGCTAATTCCGCTTTTATTGAGTTCGCTCTAAAACTAGAATGCGTACCTTTTCTTGGCATGTTATTTATTGTGAGGAAAAGATAGGGGAAAAGAGCAAAAAAATATTTGAATCGTTCTTTGAGGCTGACTCTTGGTACAGTTTATTTTTTACTTATTAACGAAGATATTACAGTGTTCATATTTATTATTACACCTAGCTGTTTCTTCATTATTAACCATTTAAATATAAGGCGGAGGAAATTCGAGCTAAACTTTCGCTATTAGTCTGACGACATTCTTTGAAAGCGCCCAGTGATTACTAAGTAAGTATGTAATTAAGACTGGACATTGATTACAGACAGATATGTAAGAAAAACAAAACAATCCAGCCCGATTTTTCATGACTTTATCAAAACAAAAATATGAGGAAAAAGAAGTTTTAGAAAATATAACTCACCCATAGGAGTACCTCCATTTAACCTAAAACAAACTATTTAGAATGTGACATCTGCAGGAAATTTTTAGTATATGAGTTTTACACTTCCTTCAAAGTTTTCTATTTTTACATTCACATAAATTCTTTAAACATCTTTTATTTCTTGCAAAATCACATGATAATTAACGACAGATGATTGGGGGTACATCCTCATTATTTGCATCACTGAGAGTTGCTTTTTTAATAACAATGGAACTCGTTAATATACTTACCTTGCCATTGGTCATTTGCAAAATTATTTTGTTAAAAACATTCTGATTGTACACACTTGTAAGCACTCTGATGTTGATATTAAAAAGATGCTTGAGTTTCTGATTGACAATAACTATGTAGTTTTTGGAGATCAGGTCTACCAACAATCTGTTGGAATTTCCATGGGTATCAATTGCGCTCCCTTCTTAGAAGACCTATTTTTTTGTATTCATATGAAGCAGAATTTATTCAAACACTTCTACATGAGAAGAAAGAAACTCTTGCTGTGGCCTTCAACTCGACATTTAGATATATCGACGACGTATTATCAATTACGAATAGTTACTTCCATTATATGTCGACTAGATATATCCCAGTGAATTTGAAATAAAAGATACCACAGAGTCTGACATATCTGTTTCATATTTGGATATCTTACTAGTAAAAGACTTAAATAGTAACCTTACAACAAAGCTTTATAATAAACGTGATGACTTCATTTTTTCAATCGTCAACTTGCCTAACTTATGTAGCAGTATAATCTCATCACTTGCTTATGGGATTTTTGTCTCCCAGTTGATTCGATATGCAAAAGCATGCTCTGCATATGAACAATTTGTAAAACCAGGCAAGCCATTGACAAACAAGTGTATGAAACATGGATATCAAAAGTCGTCATTTCGCAAGTTTTATGGTCGATACAATGACCTTGTCAACAAAAAATACAATCTATCACTAAGTCAAATGCTGATTGAGGTTTTTCATAGTAATTGTGAGGCCATTATTTACACACTGAATTTTCTACGGATTTTTCTGATTTTCCCGATCATTACTAGGAGCACACGGTGGGTGTGAAGGGATGCTCATGCTTCCATGCCACCTGATCCCACCTCTGATGTTTTTGGAGGCCCGTGTTTGCTCTGCTTCCGATTTATTTTGTTTAAATGGACTTTGAGCTTGAATACTGTTCGTTATCTCCATATTTCATTGCATAAATCCATTGACCAAGCTTTAACATACCAAACAATACGTTTAATCTTAAACTGCATTATCACCGTGATTATGCAACACCGCTCTTTTTTCTGTTTGCGTCGTGACTGTCAATAATTCCAACACTTCTTTTTTTTATGTCAGTGCATTAATTTGCATATGATGCATCTGAAACCGCCGATAATTAGATTACTCTGGTTCCTGATGGTTGTGTTCAGGGAATGATTACTGCTTCTGTTTTTCAAGACAACCGATATAAAAACCAATTAAGGGACTGAAAATTAAACCATGAAATTGAAGAAATTTTATCTTTTAAAATCTCTCTCTCTTAAATCTAAAAAGATGACCAACGATGAGTGCTCAAATAATTCTTGTGCACAGAAAGCACACCCATATATAAATCTCAAAATTGCTAAATGTATTCAAAGAAAGAAAATTTGCAGTATTTCCTTTTAAAAAAAAATAACGACATAAAAATTAAGCTTCTGAACAGATAACAAGGCAGAACAGATTAAGTACTTGGGCATGTCATTCTGCTTAGTTTAGTTTCAGTCAATATAAAATATCTTAATCAGTATATAGAGTTTTGAAAATATATTCTGATGTCACATGTATACAAAATAGTTTTTTCTTCTAATTTTCCTGCAGTGTATTCTAAATGATCGCCTGTTGAAGTATACAGCAAAATTATTGAAACAAACATATTTTTTTATTCACAAATCTCACAAATGTTTTTCCCGCAAAATTTATATAATATAGGCATTCTTAGACATTTACAAATTTATGCAGATATTCTTATAATCTTTAAGTTTTGAACAGAAATATTCTAAAACTTGAAATACAAAATAAGCTAAGCTTCTTAAACTAGACACTTTCAAACTACTAAGTTAATCTGGTAGACATCGGGTAAACGAGGATTATTTTTAATAATGTCATTCATAGTACATATAAAGAAACGACTTCGTTGGGTCAAGTTAACTCTTAATATTTAAAAGTGGGTATAACCACCTGTGTCATGTTCTATTTTTTCTTTAAATTTGCCTGTTTGGGAGTACATGAAAAACTTGTTTAAAAAAAGAAAAAGAAAAAAAGGACAGTCGTATACTTATTTTTTTTTTTCAACCTTCAAGTTAAATTCAAAAAACACACACTCACAAGCAAAAATATATATAAGTCTTTCGAAAAATAAACGGTCCACATATTTTTATTGTGTTTGCATTTGGATGAATAATCAATCATTGAAAATGTCAACCTAAGTAAATTTACTTTATATTAAAAAGTTCATAATGGTATGTTAATAAAGTAGGCGCTATATAACATGCATGTAAATGTTTGCCTGTTGTAAGTCGTGTGTTATGTTAACCAGTATTAGGAATTATTGGTGGAAACTATTTCACACTCTTAATCTTATTTAATGATGGTTCCGTTCAAATTCCTAGACAATTTTAAAATCACCAGACATGATAATTGCAATTTTTTCTTATGTATTTAAATCCATAAGTTAAAAAAAAAGGACTGTCATTTGATAAAGAAAAAAATTGCCTAGCGAAAACACGTCGTTATTTATAGAAATGAACTCCTCATGGCGGCCTTTAAAAATACGGATGTCTTATTACATTCATTTAGCTTTGTTACATCGAGCATCCATCGGCTGTATAATGTGTTCATGGTTGGACATCCTAGATCTGTTATTCATGTAATTTAATATCAGGACATGATGTAGCAAGCTGAAATATTAAATCATCGATTCAACTTATTTTCAGCAAGACGCTGTCATAAACCAGACTTGTCAACCATGAGAAATTAAAGCTCAGGTATGAGATTTATAATGGTTTGTTGTTTAAAAAATCGTTTGAAATGATAGAAACACAGCATATATTTACAAAGAAAAACATTATGTGTCAGACTGTTCATTATTAGATAAGTTGTTTGCAAATCATATAATGCCCTATATATATATATATATATATATATATATATATATATATATATATATATATATATATATATATATATATATATATATATATATATATATATATATAGCTTATTTTTCGTATCAGTATAACGAAGTGCACAAAATTGTTCTACTAAAACACATCAAGGGAATAAATTCATCCAATTTATTTTGTACAATATTATGAATATGTCTTGTAGGGTTTTTAACCATCAGGTATTTTTCTTTAACCTAATTATCATATTATTTTGAGAGAAAAAAATTAAAGGTATATGTACGTTTGGATAGGCAGTGGCATTCCCAGAGTAAAGGCCAGGTAGAAAATGGAGCTGTGTTATCGTTGGCGAATTCTTTGTACAATATGGAGCTCTCTGGAGGTAGTTTGCTTTGCGGGCATAATCTGGGGATGGGGTTCTCTAGTCTTCATTCTGAAAGAGGAGGGCATTTACCAAGAATTCTGCGATGATTCCTCGATAAAAGGCGCCAGTCCGTCAAAAGTTATAAACAACACATCTCCACTTGATAACAACATATCAATACCCCTTTCAAACGTGACAAAGTCTTGCCATGCTCAGGAAGAAAAGCTCAACTTATGGTTCTCCATTGCTGTTGGGTCAATGTATTGTGGACTAGCAATCGTAGGACAATTATCCATGCGTCTAGGAACAAGGATTACTCGTATTATTTGCACGTAATAAATCAACTTTATATATATATAACTGTGATTTGAATACATGTATATATATCCATTAGGTCTTTCAATGTTTTTATCGTTTGTTGTCTCTTTTGCAGGTCAGTATATATTATTGGATTTCTTTGCACCGCATTTGCCAGCAAAGGTATGGCTATAATGCCTTTTATAAATGTTTTATTAAAGTATTACTCTTTCTACCAACAAATTCTGAAGGGAACAGTAACATTCCACTTTGTCCGTAAGTTCAAGCCCCCAAAAACCGCGGGAGAATGCTCCAGTTATTTTGCTAGTATATTTTCTACAAACCGATGAATTAACAGTAACGTCTAATCATTTTTTTTCCTTGTGAAGGAATTGATATCGCTTTCAAAAGGCCTGTCACTGTCCGAACAGTTTTTAAGGTGCTTGAAGACTTGATCAGATGATTTGTATGTGAGTTTACCTTGATTAGTTAAGGAATAACTGTCTAGTTTTTGGTTTTATGATGTGATCAATCAGTTTGCTCCGTGATAATTTCATAAAACTATCACGTGATCAATCTGTTTGATCATCATCTTAAAACCCCAAAACCAGACAGTTATTCTTTATGTTTACATTTTTTACCTGATCCTAGATTCAATGAAAAAAATGAGACATTTACGTAAACTTTATTCAGTAATTAGAAATTGAAGTCTACAAGCCCCGCCCAGTGTATTACTACATGTAAGCCACATAAAGCGATAAGACAGTTCTGTCAGATGATGAGCAAATGGCTTTATGAAGGTATAAAGCTATTTCCTAATTTGTAATTTTATCTCGGGCTAAGATATTTAAAAATGTAAATAAAATGTATTACTGCTCAAGTTTGCATTTTGTTCCACTTCATAATTTTTCCTAAATGCTTGTAGATTTTTTTTATATGAGTCTCCATTATTTGGATAGAGGTCAAGTTCGAATTATAGTCCGATTTTTTTTTTGTTTGAAGAATTGTGGCCCTTTTACTTATCACCTTCAATAGATGTCAATTAATGGAGTTTTTCTGTATAATTTTTGAGATGATCTAGAATACACATGCCGGAAGTCTCAATATTTTAAGATTGGTGTTCTTTCTTAAATCAACTTTACAACCAATGACATATATTTGTACTCAGTTTAGATAAAATAATGTCTTATTTACACAATTATGTTGACCTGTAAACCAAGACAAAATAGAAAGAAAACAGTTAATTACAAACGACATAAGCAGGTCAAGTACTATTTGGTATGACTTTTCTTCTTTTCCCTCAACTCATTTTTCATCAAGATACAATTAAGTATTTAAGTTGTGATGTTGAAAAATAAGAATTTTCCAAAAACTTGAGAAATACAGTATATTTTTTGTGCATGCATTCCTGAGAACCAACTTTCTTTCCCGCAAAAAAAAAATGTTTTATTTACATGATTATGTTTACCTGTAAACCACGACAAATAGAAAAACGGTTAACTACAAATATTTACATTTGCAAATATGATCCTTAGTTGAACGTATTTAAGAGTAAATATGTTCATTTCTGTCTCCACTACGTATACATTTCAATATTTTAATTGTATAGATTTTCAAATCTAAAATTTACGTATCTTTACAGTAAACAAGTCCAAATCCTGTTTCATTTGATATTTATATTTTTCTGCAAGCGAATGTTGGTTTTGCATATTCCCTTACTAGTTAAAAATTGTGTACCTGTAGGACTGAGGCAACCTGATGCAGCTCTTGTCAGGCACGTACAAACGTTTCTAGAACGGTATAATTATTTTGACAGTACTCCCAGAAATAACACTCCACAGTCCTTCTTCAAAAACGTGACTAAATAAAATTTTTCATGTCGCGTACAAATTTACCCTTGTAACATATCGTATTTATAATTCAAAAGATCGATTTCTACTCTATACGTGTCTACATAAATTGTTTTGTAAATATTTAACGATACATATGAAGTTTTGAGTTTTCACATTTAAGAACAACACAATGTTTGAAAACCTATTCTACGGAAATCTTAATATCCCTGCATCCATTTATAAATTTCGTGATATTTTCATTCATATTCAAATTTCAAGCTTTTAGTTGTATAAGCGCACCAAATTCATTGTGTAGAATATCAAAGAAAAACTTTATTTTCCATATAAAAAGAAGGCAAACCTCTTCTCGCAAAGAAGTGTATGGAACTTGTTTCATACATAATCCAATTATGTAAACTGACTTTACATAATAATACAAAATCATAGCATGTCGCAGAATGTAGAATTAACTTCTGTAAAGGTTCCTGTTTTAAATTGCACACAAACCTTGCAGAACTGACAATGAAATGAAATTTACCTAAAAGTGACCATGGAACCTAATATGATCGTTCAAGTTTTGAGTCGGTAATCAAGACCATTACATTGTCAACAAAATGAATTCAACAAAATCAATGAGCACACGGCGGGTGTGACTGGTCGACAGGAATTGCTTACTCCGCCATGACACCTGAACCTACCTCTGATGTTTTTAGAGGTCCGTGTTTGCTCTGCTCCCAATTTTGTAATTGTTTCAATGGACTTTTAAGCTTGGTTACTGTTCGTTATCTCCATATTTCATTGGACAAAAATAGCTGTCTCTCTGAAAAATCTAACTTCTTAAACGGTAATCAGGAAATGTTTTTGCTTTTATAAAACGTTTTATTATTTTGGTATTGAATTGCGTTATTTCAATAGTGGTTGAAACCCGTGTTTCGTTGTGAAATGCACTCTCAAACACTATTGAAATAATTATTTCAATAGTGGTCGTTATTTCAATAGTGGTTGCAACAATAATTAATTCTTTTGATAAACATATTAAAACAAAGGTTAATTACATTTTATATCTATTGCTGAGAATTTCAGCTTTTATTGCAGAAAATTAACTTCCGTAACGCTTTTCTCACTGTTACTGTAGTACAGCTGTGGAAATGGCTTTGAAACTTCATATATTAAATTTTGTGTCTTTCGTCGATGAGAGAGTTAAATGAAATATATAGATATTTTGAACATATAACAAATCCGTTTGTTTCACTGATTGATTAAAGTTTTATTAATCACCGAAAATTGCTTTTTTCCTTTTTAATTTGATTTTTTTACTACTGGTAAACTACAATAGACAATCCTCGTCGAGTTATCGTCACTAAAGAATTTATCATGGATTTGATGTAAACATTATTCAGATCGAATTATATCCTTAATCCTGTTCACTACAACTATCATTAAATATTTCCAGAACTTTGTTAGTCTAAACATTTAAATGTAAGAGCTTGCCATCTTCCCAAGTCAAGGGTGTTTGATCCGCTCCACATAATAAACGTTTAGATCAGAAACCCTTGACTTAATTGGGAAGACAGCACTTGTCAAACTTACCTGACCTGTTTACTACCTAATGGAGGACATGCAGTGCCAAAGATGTATGGTATATCTTTAATAAGCATAATTTCACTTTAAAACTGTACAAAAACACATTTGTTTGCTGAAAATATGTAGATACTAGATGAAATCCCGCGCAAGCGCGGGGAATTGAATTTATGCCACTACCGATAGAAAATATATTGTAGTTTCTACTGACAGCCTACAGGGTTATAGCAGGAAGAAATACTTTGTTCAAAATCCCGCATGTGCGTCTCCACCCCCCCCCCCTTTTGTAAAAACTTGAAAAAATAACAATTTCATTAATTGATGTTTATTGTGAAACCTGTTATACTATGTTATGGGTATATTGTATTTTGGGGGGGAGGGGGGGTTAAAAATTCACAGGTACTTGTGTCTTGGTTTATAAATATGTATGTACCTTATTGATATGTAAAAAATTTACCTTTTTTACATATCAATAAGGTTCATACATATATATAAACCAAGACGCAAGTATCTGGCTGTGTAAAAATTAGCTTTTAATGCCCTATGAATAAGCCGAGTATTTGATACAAAAGACTGTATTCAAAAACAAAAAACAAAAAAAAAAAACCTGAAATGTATTGATTAAAGCACAAAATTTTACAGCTTTCATTGTATTTGAACAATATCTTATTCATTATTTTCTCTTCTCATGTAAGCAGTGAGGAATAATATATACACATTTTACCGATAAATTTATTAGGAAAACCTACTACATATATGTAATAGTCTTTCGATATATAAATATATTCACAACTTATAGTGTTATCAATGATTTACCATTATTTCAATGACTATTCACACATAAGCTTTTCTTATGTTCCTACAGCTATAATTGTCTCGTTTTTCTTTTCAACATCGGGCTCGATGCTATATGATGTTCTAGAAGTTTCCGTCAATATTAAGATCGGTGAATGACAGAAATAATCTGCACATTTCCCTTTTTAATCGGTTATCACAACTTATTTCTTTTATGTCATTTAAATCAAGTTTTGATCGAATAATTCAGTGATGACGTTTTATGAAATAAATAAACGATTGATTGTTGTCAGTTTCATTGAAAATTGCCAGAAACTTAGATCCGCCAACCGGAAACGCCACCGTACTCACGTTTTTGCTATTTCATGGCTATTTATAGAAAATAAAAGTAGACTTTTAATTTAATGTACGATATTTACAATGCGAATGAAATCTAAATATAGTTTAAGGACATCATATTGTATCTAGTGTATTCTTAGAGGAGTAAGTAAAAACTCTGGTACATCCGTTTCGGAGTTTATTTGCAAAATTTATTAATTCATAAGTATAAGATACCCAAATTACAGATATACAATAAACATTTCAAACAATTTTGAAGGACTTATTTTGCAATATTTTTTTTAGTAACAGCTTGTTACAAAGTCCGATGGGTAATTTATTCTAATTGATTGCCTCAAGCGTATTCATTCATTTATTCTCACAAAAACCATATGAGGCACAAGAGGTATATATATATATACATATTTACAATAACTATGGACAAGCCGAGCCGAGATTACAGGCGGACAGACAGTGTCAAAAATATTGGTGATAAATATACACAATTTTCTTTAGTATGCTGAATCAATATATGTCATTAAATTACAAAATGTTATAATGTTTGGAAGTACATAGCGTAAATATAAGTAATAAACGACCATGTTAAAAAGTAAACTTAGTTGGTACGTGGTCAAATCTGCTGAGAACGTCACAGGATGTGATCACGTGACCAACCAAATCATTTTAACATTGTTGTTTATTTCTTAAATGACATATGCAGGGCAAGTACCATTTTGATGTAATTTTTCTTTTTTCCCCTAATATCATTTTTAATCAAGATAAATATTTAAGTTCGTTGTGATGTTAAACTATAAGAATTTTCAAGAAATTAGTTTGTTTGCATCCTCGAGTACCACTTTGCATTTTCAAGTACCACTTTTCTTTCTCGCAAACCCTTTAAATTATGAATATTTTTCAATTACTGAATGGCATTTTTCAATAAAATTCAGAAGTAATCTTAGAAGATATTTTCTTTAAAATGAATTATAAATCACATAATATATAGAGAGTTTACAAAAAATCTTAGCACATATACATTTATAAACGCATTCCATTGTGTCTCCTCAATATTTTTTTTATGTACAAATACATGATAAGGCGGGTTATGGTAGCTATAATATATCGATTCCCGATTCCATCAAGTATTTTTAATCTTTGTATGCTGAGAGTGCTCATTGTCTTAGACAATAACTGATACTTCGGTGACTGTTAGGGCGCATATGACGCTTGTTCGATTTTGTGAAAATTGCATCAGTTAGATCTAAATATAATATAGACAAAGAAATATAACTTTTTTATGATTGTATACTAGTACTTAGATAAAATGTTACTGGATAGATTAATTTTATTCTTAGTTAATGTAGTTTTATTGCGTTTTTCTTTTCTTTCTTTTTTTTTTATTTTAGGTTTAGTGTATGTAGTTGTCATATAATTTTAGAAATTCCATAAAGATTCATATTATTCTTAGATAAAATAGTATAATTTTGTTTTGATTAAGTTTCAGTGTATGTAATTGTTGTCAAATATTTTTAGAAATGCCTTGGCTTTTGCTGCCTGGACTGTCATGTATTGCTATTGGTGGGCTCTCGGTTTTCTGTACAACTTTACAGGTACATGTATTATGATCTTTGTTGAAACTTTAATTGCTGTATTAAAATGACAATGAGAAAAGACAGTAATATGGCAAAAAAAGCTCAGAGGGCAGTCAGTAATTTGAATTGATATAATAATTTTGAAAACTGAAATGGATTCAGACTTTCTTAAAACTATCCGCTCCTAAGCCAGGAAAGATAACCCTTTAATTTATTATTCAATTCAGTAAGTCTTAAATTAAAGCTTGAAATTGAAATCTTTTCATGCAGTTTCATTTCATTCATCTCAATCTCATTCAAGGTTCTTTGAAGTCTTCGAAACGGTCTTATAAAAATTTGATATTTGTACCCCATAAAAGTATTTTAAAAATTACATATTTAAAGAAATCCAATTTCCTTTAATCTAGCCCTAGATACCAATGATTATTGGTAGGATATGAAATCAGAAGTGATTTATGGTGTTTTGCAATGATAGGAAACATTTTATAAACTATGCATTATAAAATAATTGAAGTAAATAGAAGAAACTAAAGTACATGTACTGTATAAGTGTAAAATCATGCAACTTTCTTCAAATGCCTGGATACCTTAGTTTGTTTGTTTTTTTAATCCTAAAATATATTTGCATTTATATTGCAAAGTATGTCTTTTTATTTGTATTTTCTGAAAATTTGTTTGAGATTTAATAATTTCCCTATATAATTACCGTGGGTAAATACACATTACTTTGAGAATTCAGAGACATTTTTGTGAGCATTTTAAATTATTCGACGCCTGATTTTCAGAACCTGGGGATCAGACTACCTTAAGGTGTGCAAAAATCAGAAGCAAAATCATATTTCAAAGTCATGGTCACTGCATGGACGATGTATTCAAATTATTATGCAAAAAATAGCAACGCTGTCGATAAATACCTATACATGTATGTCCTTATAACCTTCAAAAAAATGTTTCAACGATATTTTATCAAGGTCAACTACTGATATTTAATGATATGATTAGGGAAGGGGTGTTCTCTTTTTTTTGAATCAAAAAGAGAACACTTCTTTTAACTTTCTAAATTACTCCAGAAAAACTAAATTAAAAGACTCCTCTTGGAATTTTTAGTGTCCAGTTCACAAAGACCGATAATTGTATGTAACTTACATCATATTACTTTGTTATTGCAGATTCCCTATTAATCAAACAAACAACAGATATTATTTTGCTTGTTTAATTTGGCGCTTCTGGCCGCGGTGATCAATTTGCTGGGGCTACCACAGGGCTGCCCCACAATCAACAATCAATACAACAAATGTGACGACCCAAATCGGGCGGATCATGCACTGGGTAGGTCACAAGTGCATGAACGTCACCAATTCAATTATAAATCAAGTTCAATCAATAAATCAATAATCAATCAAGTTCAATCAATCAATCATCATTCAATCAATCAATTCAATATCAATCAAGTCAACTGCTTGTCAATTACAAGCCAATGCACAAATTCAAATCCTGAATTTCAATTTACATGTGCAATAGGATAAACAATGGAATGAGCGTAAGAACATGTGTTGCACTCCTCCAGTTGCGTTGAGGTGCGACGGAATACGCAAACACACAGAATTACCACCGCGACATCGGTTGAATTGGACGCTGTATCCAGCAGGCAGTCATCACGGTATACGTAAACACACAGAATTTACCACCTTGACATAGGCTGATGTGGACGCTGGACCAATCAGGCTGTATTTACGGAATGAGCAAACACACAAAATTCACCATCGGCACATAGGCTGATGTAGGTGCTGGACCAAGCAAGCCGTCCCTACGTACATATAATATCCGAACACACATAATCCACTACCGCGACATAGGCTGTTTGGAAGCTGGGCGAAGCAGGCAGTCTTCAGCTACAATGACATAACAAAAAGCAGCAGTATTTGTTCTAAAAACAAGAGGAGGGTGGGTGGGTAAAATTTAAAACATTGCCACAATTTAACTCCCAAAAATTTTCCATGACCTTACCGTTTAATCGATTCTTCTAGAAAGGAGGTAGAAAAGAACTTATTATTAGACTATATACAAATGGACCTAAATTATCCGGAATGGTAGCTTGTGACTAAGGGTGAAAATTTATATTTATCTGAATGTACGTAACTTTTCCGGAATAGATAAATATTACTAGGGTTACTGAAATAAACTCACTTATCCGAGACCAGGCTCGTATAAGTGGTATTATTGCAGATTCCCTATTAATCAAACAAACAACAGATATTATTTTGCTTGTTTAATTTGGCGCTTCTGGCCGCGGTGATCAATTTGCTGGGGCTACCACAGGGCTGCCCCACAATCAACAATCAATACAACAAATGTGACGACCCAAATCGGGCGGATCATGCACTGGGTAGGTCACAAGTGCATGAACGTCACCAATTCAATTATAAATCAAGTTCAATCAATAAATCAATAATCAATCAAGTTCAATCAATCAATCATCATTCAATCAATCAATTCAATATCAATCAAGTCAACTGCTTGTCAATTACAAGCCAATGCACAAATTCAAATCCTGAATTTCAATTTACATGTGCAATAGGATAAACAATGGAATGAGCGTAAGAACATGTGTTGCACTCCTCCAGTTGCGTTGAGGTGCGACGGAATACGCCACTTGCAAGGGCCATGAATACTCGTGTCTACCACGAGTAAGCATGGAACTGCAACCGCCACCAATGGGGGTGCCAAGAACCATGGTGACGGCGGCAGTACCTCAACGCAAATGGTCACCGTCGACCAGGGCCTGCTCATTCACCAATACAACTTATAAAACAAGTGACTTATTAGTCAATTACTATTCAATGCATTAAAACAAAATATGAATTTAAATCGTCAACAGTCATTCACCTATTCCGATATAATTGTTTTAAGAAATGTGTTGAAATGCAATTATGGACTTGTGAGAATAAAACAACTCCCCGTTTAATCTAAAATTGTGGATCCTTACCTGCACTTTATTCCCTGTCCCGTTGGTTTATTTTATCGTATTACTTACCTACTAGGCTGTTACTCCTGTTACGCATTTTTATGGCTTTTATAAAAATTTAAACTATCTTTGCAAGTATTGGTTATAGTTGTACTAAAAAGTGTGGAGTGTATCAGACCCAAATTGAACAAAAACGAGATATTTACGTCACCTCTCAACTTAGAATACTTTTAAAACAATATTTGTGTCCTTAACCCCCCCCCCCCTCTCATTTCCCCAGCTGCATAAATCATATTCCCTCTTCACAATTTATCAAACAACTATAATCCATAGTAAAATTTAAAAAAAAATAAATCATTGAAATGAAAGAAAGTAAAAATATGTGAGCCTTGTAACAACTACTTAATGGATGCCTAAACATGTACATTTTATAGCCAGCGTTTCAAAGCTAAAATACCCCCCCCCCCCCCCCCTGCAAGTTGGTGGCAAATGTGCTTTAGCGGTTGCTCCCTAATTGTAGTGAATGAGATTTAAATTTTGTATTCTACAAATAATAAAACGTATGGGCATGATATGCCGTATCCAATACTGACTAAACCTGCTCAAAGTTTCCCTGAAAAAAGGATAAACACCTTTTATGACTGGTCATGGAAGTACTTGCAACTACATTCGAATCGTTAAACTGTTTTAATTAAAAATAATTGCCAAGACTCATTAATTTAATCATCACCTATTAAGTGTTTTAAGGTACGACTAATTTTAGTTTTATATAACCTCATGCCATAAGGGTAGATTAACCTATTGCAAACAAAAGGAAGAATACTTTATATCGCTATTACTTAAAACGTAATGAAACTCTTTTGCGTTGAAGGTAGGAAACGTTGATTAATAGCTGAGGACAATGTGCTATAGCTATTGACTACACTATGAGATCGATCACTGCAGATTTTTAAGGGACATTTATAAGAAAGAAACCCTGGTGAAATACCTAGCTAAATGTTCGTTGCACCACGCTATGAAATTAAAATGCTAGCTCTCTTGTGTTAATTTTTTGTGGATATTTCCCGCTAAGTAGACTATTCTAATAATAAGTTTAATCATTTTCTCTCTGATAAACGTTATTTTGGAAGTCTAAATATTCCGAATACTTTGACTTGCTTTCTGAAGTGCAACCATCGGCATTACTTTGTACCTTCAGCATACTTATTGTTCGTATCATTCAATTGTCACTAGCGTAAACAATATATGTAAACAACATGTTATCCCCCGAAAATGAATGGAGATTTATGAGAGTTATAAGTTTCTTGACTTTATTGCAGAACAGCCGCAGTAAGTTATACAATTCGAGGTAATTGCGATACCAAGTGTTCTGAGTATTCAAAAAAAATATCTGTAAGGGAGTAGTTTTATCTCTGGGAAATTTAGGTATAATCGTGGACCATTGTGTATTACACACAATTATACCTGTATTTGGTAATAATTAAACAGAATGATAAAATTAGTCTCAAGGCTTAAATCCCCATTAGACACTGACATATGTGCGCAATAAAATAGATAAACACAATAAAATATCCGAGAAAACAAATTCTTGAGTACGTTGCAAATCTTTGTCCATGGAAATGTGCGGTGGAAATAACTGGTATACTTGATAAAGCATACTTCTGGACATATCTTGGATATCCCTTACCAGATTAGCTTAAAATTGAATGTCAGTGTACCTTAAATAAATGGATCAATATTGTTTTGACAACACATTATTAACTCCTTGGTTTTGACTTTTCTTATATACTAGTAAATTCAATATTGCAATTTCATATCAACCTATTAAATCTTTAAATAATAATAATAATTGATTCATATATATTTTAACTAATTGTTTGACAAGCTTTGTTTCCCCGTCTCGTCGAACACATTAGCAGACTATCCATTCAAAGATAGCCTGATAAGCAACATACGGAGCAAGTACTGGGTGCTGCTTATCTTAGTGAGACTCCTGACCAATCACTTTTATTAATCTGCCTATCACAGTGCTCTAATAGCTTAACTAAATATCAGAACAGTCCAACCGAAGGAGACGAGGAACCAATTTGATTTTGACCATCTTTTTAAAAATACCAGTTTATTTGAAATATGCCCCCCCCCCCCTTTCACACAAAGACTCGCTTAACCAAATTATACTTTTCCCTAAAATGTAATCTAATAGCTGCGATTAATTGAAGCTGGATTAGGATCTATATCATTTGCCAATTCCACTTTTATATCTAGTATTAGCACAACTGCAACATTTCCTACTTGTTTCTTTTTTGCAAATCTTTAATTACTGTTCTAATGAATTACTGGGTAAGTGATAAGGTCATGCTTTGATGGAAAGGAATATTGTGCCCATTGCAGCTGTTGACTCATTGATAAAGCTGTCTTAAAAAAATAAAATTAAAAATGTTGACCTGTTTTTGGTAATGTACCTGAAAATAAATGATCATGGTAACATACATCTGTAATCACTATCAATTCCTTAAGGTTTTTTACGTACTTACTGCCTTTTGTACCAATATAATTTGCTCCTTGCTTGTGCCTGAACCCTGCAAATTTGCCTACGTATTCTAATGCATATGAAGAATACTTTTCCACAGCTTTGCTGCGGTTTGACTGCTCATTGTGAGACAAATGCTTGCAAAATTAATAAGAAATGTTTTCATCCTATTTCAATAAACTGTGATTTTGCTTTCATTAGTTGGATTTTTATGCAGAAATTGACCATGTGGACCAAATGAGCTCCCATATGTTGTGTAACATAATATACAAGTTAACTCCCATCCCATTATGTAATAGGAAAATCAGTTCATACAATATCATCCATAAAACCTTACACCTTTTTGTTTTCTTGGTAACATGTTCTATGTAAATGGCCAGGATAACATGAACAAAAGAAAAAAAAAAAAAAAAAAAAAAAGATAAGAAACAGTACTGTTCCAAACCTTTTCAAAAGACCAACAAACAAATGAAATGATACAAGTCTGCAAATAGAGCATAACACTTACACCATTTAATAAACCTCCTCTCAGTACACACAGTACTTTGATTACTTCAAAAAGTGAAAGTGCACAAATTCTCGTGAATGCTTTCTCCAATTTAACGACGATTACATTTTGTAAAATGCGAATCAATATACCTCCTTCGAGCACGATAAATCTATGTAGAAAACAAACTAAAATCCTTCTAGTAAGCCCGGCTTCTGAGAATATTCCGTGTTTTATGAAATTATCCAACCCCCCCCCCCCCCCCCCCGTTATAGCTATGATGGACTCGAAGTTTAACATTTCGCTCCTTAAAAAAAATACCTCAAGTTAAACAATCATTTGACCCCCAAACTGATCTTAATATATTCCTATTACCTGTAAAGTCTCACAAATTACAATATCGCGTAAAATCATTCAATTTACGAAAAAGTCCAATCAGGCCAAATCCAAAGTCAAACTTCGCCATCGATACGTCTAATTTGCTTTGAAACTACAAACCTCAATAGTTATACTAAAAATCAAACTTATTTGATTTAAAAAATTTAAAACATTGCCACAATTTAACTCCCAAAAATTTTCCATGACCTTACCGTTTAATCGATTCTTCTAGAAAGGAGGTAGAAAAGAACTTATTATTAGACTATATACAAATGGACCTAAATTATCCGGAATGGTAGCTTGTGACTAAGGGTGAAAATTTATATTTATCTGAATGTACGTAACTTTTCCGGAATAGATAAATATTACTAGGGTTACTGAAATAAACTCACTTATCCGAGACCAGGCTCGTATAAGTGGTAATATTACAATTTTACGCACCTACATGTATTTTGTTTTTTATGTTATAAAGTATATTTTTACCTCATATTTAATCTAGATAAACTAGCATCACTAATTATGGTATATAATACTGAGTAACATTTTTCCTACACAGAAATAATGGATATTTTTTTCTGTTATATCTCCTCTGAATTTAGATATTCCAATTGATTTCATTCAATTTCATATAACAATTTCCTTCGTCTACACTTGGAAGAATGAGAATTTTTATTTCCATTTGAAGGTTGCAAATCTGTACACAACGATTCAGACCACCATTGTGGCGTTGTTTTCTGGTTTGTTCGACGCTTCCACAATTATCCAGCATTTTATTAAAGTAAGACCTACACAGCTTGTACGTATACAAGATCGTACTCTCTCTCTCTCTCTCTCTCAGTAAAAATGCATATACAACATTATTCATTATCTGAGATAAACCATGACAATGACTTGCGTAAAAACAGAATTGAAAGCACGCCTATATAAATATATACTTGTGTCACATATTAAGGATGTATTTGGCTCAGTTAGATAATTTACATTTTCAAATGACTTTGAGATAAAACTACAAATAATGTAATAGCTATATATTCTCAGATAGCAATTTGCTGAGCACGTGACTGAACCCCATCATGCCTTTTCGCTTTGTGTTTCTTAGTTTTACACTAGGACCTGCAGACTTATCATTAATATTAATAAAAAAAATTAATTGAATGAAGGATCAGGTGAAAATTTAGATATAAGGAAAAACTGTCTTAGTTTTGATTAGAGATAAGAATGAAAATATCGCCAGTGAGTTCCATTAACCTAAATATGTATTATATTGATTTAAACTAATGGCATGTTTCAAAGGACAATGTCACCGGGGCATAACATACATAGCCAGAATTTCTTGCTTAACTCTTTCGGAGCCATGTACTTTAAATTCCACTCAAATCAAACAATTCCCCTTAATCCACTGATCAGTAATAGTGAGCTAATCTAGCAATCTTTCTTTAAAATATACTGCTTTCATTTTAACAGGTGGCTTTTGAGAACGGAATACCAAGGAGGCATTCTTATTTATTCCTATGTGGCATGGGTATTGTAATTTTCAATGTTCAAACGTTTGTGTTCTTACCAAAAGACCATATCAAGCGATCGTCCTGTATACAACAGAAAAAAACAAAACGAATTAACAGTGATACAGAAACAAATGACACTCTACTGGAAACGGAGGAAAGTGAGTATATTGTATATATAACTGTTGTAATGACTAAATTTAATTTTGCTTTCTATATAATTTATGCTAGCTTTACGGTTAATATTTGAAAAAATTCTGCAAAGAAAAAATAAAATCTACTTTCTGTTCTAGATAATAATCGTGAAAACTGTGTTGCTGAAGAGGACAACGTCAAGACACACATTTTGTCCTTTGCGTACCTTTCTCATACTGTTTGGATGTCCATCAACGTGCTTCTATTTGTAACATTTGTCGGTCTTCTAAATACATGGTTATCGAACATGACTAAAAATTCGTCTACTGGTAATATTCAACATCTGATACAGTTTTTATGAAATATTCCCCAGGGGACATGTATCATGATTGGAACTTCAATATTCTAGTAATTATCCATAAATATATGATAAAGACATACTTGAAATCAAAGCCAAATAACTTTATTTCAGTAAGCTATTACCTGGATGCCTTCGCTTATACCACTATCTCTACCTGCATCACGGCTATTGTAGCCGGATTTGTGTATGACTGGCAGAGAAAGAGGTTTAAAGGTAAAAACTCCTCTCTACGATGGCCGATATAGGCCGGACAAAAAGTAACCACGAGTTGTGTTCGATTTGCCGGCAATTCTTAGATGCCGGCAAAAAGTAACCACGAGTTGTGTTTGATTTGCCGGCAATTCTTAGATGCCGGTAAATCTTAGGTACCAGCAATTCTTATATATAATATTTAATTAAAATGCCAGAGGATATCGAGGTCACAGAAGTCTAGTTAACTTAACAGGACAAAGGGTTTGACAAAACACAGAGTACTGAGAAAAGTGAGGAGGAAAACCGCATACAGACAATGTTTAAGGGGTTTCCAGACCTGTGCACTCCACATAAACGTATATTAATATCTTTTAAATTCATTACCAACTCATATTTTATTTGATCTTCAATAGTTGTGTTATTTATTTTGATATCAAAGCCATTGTTTCCTCAAATACCAAATGAACGCTGTGCACTCTGCCTGTTGATTGACGGCCCAGCTACATGTAGTCAACTGATAAGCTGTTTTAAAAAACTTGCCTGGTTATTAAACTACCATAAACAATTAGGAGGGTGATAATGAGAATACAGAAAACTTCTGAATTTGTATTGTCCATTTTAATCTAGGCCCTGCCATATCTTAATGAAATATTATGAAAAACCGGAAAACGAAACGTCTGTTTCCCTGAGGATGAAGAGCAGTTTACACTTGTCGATTTGCGTATGTATATCTGCAGGACCTCATATATAAAGGAGCCCGATATACATTACCCAAGAAATTTTTTTTTTCTAATATACTTGATTTTCAAACATTTTGTAAAAAGACAGTGAACGAAACCCAGACCAGTGTTGAAATAGCCCCCCCCCCTTACTGACTCTTTTTTTTTTTTAATTTTCGGGGAGGGGGATGCTGCTTTCTAGCCATTTAAATAGCTCGACTTCGTTTTGATATGTCATAAATAATGCCACGTATCGAGTGAAACTGTTGTCTTTGTCAAACCGTTTTCCCAATTAAGATAACTTTACCTTTGAGACCTCTAGTATTTTAATTAAATATTTAAAATAAGAATTGCCGGTATCTAAGATTTGCCGGCATCTAAGAATTGCCGGCAAATCAAACACAACTCGTGGTTACTTTTTGCCAGTATCTTAGAATTGCCGGCAAATCGAACACAACTCGTGGTTACTTTTTGTCCGGCCCATATCGGCCATCGTACCTCTCTGATAAAGAATCAAACAATATTGTGAAGCATTACAACTTTAGTCTAAGACACCTAGAACATTTGCTGGTGACTTTTCCAAATTATTTTATACTAAGCTGTTTATTTCTATATCTGCTTGTGTCATTAGAAAAGGACAAAACCAATCCATTAAATTTTTTTTAATATAATCATTTACACGTGTATTTGGGTAAAGATTCTTGTCTTCAACATAAAGAAATTCAATGATTATTTTGTACATAGACTCAATATGTGTTTTCTTTCAGGTAGCCCAGTTCCTGGACGATACTTCTTTCCTATATGCCTACCTATGGCGATTACTTGGTTATTTGGCACACTGTGCTATCTATTACCCCTCGTGTTTGAATCTTTTTCCGTAGTACTTCCGGTCTTCATCATGTTTACTTTTTATCGTTCCTTTCTGTTTTCCATTGGAATTGCATTTCTTGGAGAAGCGTAAGTTAACATATTTCTCACGTCATCTGGGTGATAAACGGTGTAATATTTACGATATTAGTATTTTTTATAACTATATATCATAAGTCTTTTATTTGTTGCACTAAAATGTGTGTATAGACCATAATAATTACAACAGTTTCCGCAAAAACTCATATAGCGTTATTGCATTAATTGATTAATCAAAATCAAAAGATAAAGATAACCCTAATATTACAGAAAGAATCACATTCTGTTATTAGTTATTTGTACCGTAGTTTATAGTTATAGTATTGATACTTACAACTTTAAAGCCAAGAATGTAGTAGTGTCAGTGATATTAATTGCATATGTTTTCTCCAATTTAGGTTTCCACTAAAATATTTTGGTGTTCTCTACGGCACGGCCATGTTTAGCGTCGGCTCGACAAGTTTGTTACAATACGCCTTCTTTGAATGGAGTAGTGCATATAAGAATGGCTTTACACATGTATGTTTTACTACAGTGCAATATACAAGTATCATTTAATACCCAAAATGCAATCTTAAAATATTAATGTTAATAACGGGAAAAAATAACTTTTTTACCTCAATAATCAAATATTTATGCAGAAATATACTATTATTACCTGCATATGGTGTTTATAAGAGTTCTGCGCATATTCAATCAAGTATTTCTTAACCAAGGCAGGCTTTCAACAAATAAGTTGAAATAACAAAGGTATGAACAATCTCATTTAAAAGCAACAATTCGCAAATCATTGTGTTTCCTCATCTATTGGTTTTCCAAAAACGTCTGTCTTGAAGAAGCTTTTCTATATTTTTTTTCCTGTATATTTGTAGGTCAATGTGTGTCTTTTGCTCTTAGCAGTTTCAATGTGCTATCAGCCTATCCTGTTGTGGATACGGGGTGGAATAAACAAGCCTTCCCCAGAGAATGATATAAATAATATGGAAATCGTACTGAATCCACCAAGTTGATTATTGATTATGTTCAACTTTTTAACCGCAATATTAAGATTTGCCTGTGATATGATTGTGATATTAAGAATTTTAACTCAATTGTTTCGATTCGGAATGTGTGTTCCGTTATGTTACTGTTTAGTTATTGATTTCTTTTTTCAACAGTAAATTAATGATGGAATGTATTTGAATTCACATCACACGCAATATGTCATTTTATAACATGATTGGCAGAGAACTGTACCTGCTGCATGCAATACTTGATAAGAAATGACATTGAAAGCATGTAATAAAGTAGGAAAAATCACGAAATGAAGCCTGAACAGAACTTTCAAGATAAACGTATTTTAAACATCTACTGTGGAAGGTGTTGTGCTTTAAAGAAGTGAAACATTAGACCTAAGCTAAATGCTGGAAAATGAACTTGATGGCTGCTATACAAGAATGCTGAAGAGGGCACTAAACACCGGCTGGAAGGATTGCATCACAAATTATCTGTTCTTTGTATTTGGGAACATATCTAAGAAAAATCATGTGAAAGAACGAATTTTAGGACATCTCAATATAATGCACTGTAGCAACTATAGCAACCGCTAATGATAAAACGCCGCTTAATGATAGAAATATCACTAAGCGTTGCAATTGCGACGCTTATTGCCATATATTAATGCATTAATAGTTGACATTCTCAACCGCTATAAATGCAAAATCGCCGCTTAATGAAAGAATTATATAATTAAGCGGTTGAGAATGTCAACTATTAACGCAATATTTCATGACATTAAGCGTTGCATTGCAACACTTAATCATATTTCTATCATTAAGGACGACGGACCTTATTTGAAATTTCACGCCACTGCTCAGAAAACCACGCATGCATATGCCTTGAATCAAATTGACTTTATATATTGCAAAAGATAAAAAAAATATACATTTTTTTAAAAATCTTTTAAAGATATTCAAACGTTTCCTTTCATTCAAAATTATTGTAAATATTTCGATTTATATTCATTTGTTCATTGTATAAATAAATGATTTATTTGGCCAAGGTATTTTCATTGAAAATTTCCCCAAAATGTGCCCTACAACTGAGTTTGACATGCCCTCTGAAAAATCTAAGCCGATGACCCATTTATTTTTTGGCACAATTTGCTGGTAAATTGTCTTGTTAACATTGTCCTTTAATATGAATAAAACTTCTATCGCAGAATTTTTTGAATGATCACTCTTATACCCTACACTGGCAATTTCCCATTACTTTCTATAGTAATTACCGATTTCCATCGCCAACTTTTGAAACGCTCCCCATTAAAAATCTACATCGATGACCATATGATTTTTTTTTATTGATTTCAACTCATCAAAAGTCACATTACCTCATATTAAAATTTGAATAAAAAATCTATTGCAGAAATGAATTAGGTCCATCGTCGTTAAGCGGCGGTTGCTACAATGCACGGTTACATGTATTTAATTGGACCTTATGTAAACTTCATGGAAAACTCTAACCCCCAACCTTCATTTTCAATAATAGACTTTATACTTAGGCATTCCTAATTCAATTCATAAATAAAAATATAAAAATATTTATTACATTTTTAACAGTGAAATATTGTAATTTATCACAATTTGAAAATAACAAATATAGCTACCCTTTCTGTTTCTATCATTGTCATATCTGTTGACTTCTTTTTTTTTTTAAATCATTTTTATTCAAAAATGTTTTGAATTTCTATAAGGAAAAAGTCTTAACAGATAGGGACAAAAGAAAACTCCGGAAAATGTGATAAACAGGAAATGTTTTGAAGTAGGATGAACAGATGATTCTTAAAAAAATCATTCTGATTCCACTAATAATTATTGTGGAGTTAATATTTAAATGTTGTTAAATTTTTCTTTGATTACATTGTATATTTATGTAGACCTTGGAGACAAGGTATTCCAACAAACTGTGGAATTCCCATGTGCAAAACTGTGCTCCTCAATTAGCTAAACTTTTTTTGTATTCTTATGAAGCAGGATTTATTCACACAGCTTTTAATCTTGCTGCGGATGTCTTACTGATATAAACTGTAATGGCAAACTAACGACTGAAGAATATGACATACAGGATTACTACATCTTTTCCATCGTCATCTTCCCTTATAATTATTAACAACTATAATCCTGTCCGTCTGTCACAAAAACTTCAACCTTAGTCATAACTTTTGGATGAGAAAAGATAGGGCTTTCAAATTTCTTATATGCATTACCACTGATAAGACCTTTCCAAATATACTATGACCCAGTGACCTTGAAGTTTGACCTACTTTTCAAAATTTTAATAATCAATTTGGTGATAACTTTTGAATGAGAGAAGATATGCCGATTATATTTGACATTTGCATTATACCTGTTACAAGACCTTTCCAAATGAACCATGATTTGGAAATCTTGATCTTGAAGTTTAACCTATAGTACTTACCAACATTTTTAACATTGGTAATAAATTTTGAATGAGAGAAGATAGGAATTTCATGTTTTGTGCATTACCTATGACAACACCCATCAGAAAGAACTGTCATTTACTTAACATGTACTTATCTAAATTTTGACCGTTACTTTTGCTCCAGAAAAGACAGGGCTTTCATTTTTTTGCACATGTGGCAAGACCTTTTAGGATTATATTCTGAACTCATGACCTTTATTTTGGAGTTTGATGCAGTTTTAAGAACTTTAATCTTAACTTTTATTGATTCAAAAATTCAAATCCTTATTTATATGATGGACAGACAAAACTGTGTGTCCACACAGACAAAACAGCTATAATATGCCATAAACATGCACGGATCCGGTATTTTTTTTTATCAGGGAGGTGGGACACCCACTAAAAAATCCCACTCAGAACTTTTTGGACAAGCCGAAGAAAAAAGTTTAAGTTTTTCAAAAAGTATGTCAAACTCCAAGGTCAAGGGCATAAGGTCAAAGAGTATTTGTACCCAAGAGAAGGTCTTATCACAAGGAATACGTCTGTGTCACAGTGAAGAATGAAAGCCCTGGCATTAACTGTTTAAAAGTTATGACCAAGGTTAAAGTTTATGAAAATTTTTGCAAAAGTGGGTCACACTCCTAGTAGGTCAAGATAGCAAATTTGGTGGAAAATCTTGTTACAAGGAATATACACGTGAAAACGAAATCCCTAGCTTCAACTAATCAAAAATTATGGGCAAGGTTAAAGTTTTTGTGGACAAGCAGAGATACAGACAGACAAACAAACGAACGGACAGAGCAAAAAGTATATGAATCTTCGATCACGAGGGCATATTAAAACCAATTCACACTGTCTGTCATAAGCTAAGCTGGGTTTAGTTCTCATTCCTTTGCTGTTAAATGTAAACCTTCCATATTTATATTATTTTCTTAAAATAAAACAGTTCTTCCATTTCCTGATAATTCAAACAACGGCAGAGGAAAGGATTGTTGAATCTAAAAATTCTGCGTTAAATTAGAGGTTTTCAGGGAAAAATTTCAGAGGATGTACATGGGATCTACATGAGCAGGAAACATAGTTTTAACACACATCTGTGCGCTTTTTGTTCTATATAAATATTAAAGGACTAGAACAGGATATTTCAAAACGAGTGGTAAGTATTTAACTTAATGCAAAATCCCATTGAAAGGGATGGGCCCTAACATGCGCGGATCTAGAGGGGGTCGGGGGGTCCGGACCCCGCCCCCCCCCCTTGGAATTTGCAGAGTTCTCTACAGACCAATGAACTCGTTTGTTGTGAATTTGTAGTCGGATGGCATAACAAGATTATTGGTCTGTAGAGACGACTATAAACGGTTAGGAGGTGGATAAAATATACAGGTTGGTTATAGAGTATGTCTAGAATTAGGGGATGAAAGGTCGTTGATTGACCAACGCTGGAAAGTGGCGAAAAACATCCCCAAAGTGCGCAGAAAATCTTGTCCCCGGAATGTTTGCGATATAGTGCCCCCCCCCCCCCCCCCATTTTATAACTTTATCCGTTTTATGATTTATACACTAGACAAAATTGCTAACGCAACACCAAAATAAATTAATATTTTTTTCTTTTTAAAACTTGTTGATGATGTTTTTGATATATAATTATGTTACTTTAATAAAAAATGAGGCATTTAAATTCTTAACTGATAAATAATATCAATGTTTACTGAAGCGTAACCATTTGGTAGAAAACATTAAAATATCGTGTCCATACTTATTTGGTGGAATAAATTTCTATTTTTTCTTTGGTTGTGTTCCTTATGTTTGTACTATTTAAAAAACTCAGAAAAAGTTAACATCGTATGCGGCGTTTGACCCTAGAAGAGCGTGATAAGGCAGTCAGTATATGGTGTCTGCAGGGGGTTCCTTTGGAGAAACTTTTGAAAAATTAAAACAACTAAAAGATTATTCATTCCTCTAATGAAAAATTGTTGCAAATAAATTAACAATCATAAAAATGTTTACTATAGATATCGACGGCATTAAGTAAGCACCATACAATAATTTCAAGATTGTTCCACAAACTTGGGGCAACCGGAAGTTGGGTGGATTTGGTAAGGACACCAAGGCACTGGATGATTACTAAGCAATGTGGTAGTCAATCTGGGCATATTATTTGATTTTTAAGTGGGAGACTGCTCCCGTCGCAACCTCACGGACCACCTTCGGTAATAACCAACTTCATATCTTTTCAAAAACAGTGCACGTCAGGATATTGGTTTTCGGACAAGACATTCGTCAATTCAACTGTTTTGAAAAAAAGATAGCGTATTTTATATACTCGTACCGATCAGACAAATGATCAATTCACAAATAAGAATAACAAGTGGTGCGTTAGCAATTTTGTCTATTCTTTTAAAGTCTGTTATACGATCAAGTGCTACTAAGCTATTGCTAGCAGCCTTTAGTTTGTAAAAGAAAACGCCACTAGTTTGATGTGATTGATTGATTGTATGTTGTTTTACGTCCCATTCGAGAATTTTTCACTCATATAGAGACGTCACCATATACCGGTGAAGGGCTTCAAATTTTGACCTTTACTCGTCACTCAGGGCCATTGAGCAGTGAGGGATCTTTATCGTGCCAAGCTTGCCGTGACACTGGGCCTCGCGATCGGTTTTTAAAGTCTCATCCGAAGGACCCGCAACTTTCACTTCTGCTATCCATTTTTACCGACTTAGGTCAGTCGCGGCCTAGATTCGAACTCACGACCTCCCGATATCGAAGCGAGCGCTCTACCGACTGAGCTTCCGTGAAGGGTAGTTTAATGTGATATACAAAACTAACATTCAGTTTTTGGACATAGGGGCTTGCTTCCAGAATGTTTTTTTTTTTTTTTTTTGGTTATGTCTGTCTGAATATAAAATTAAACAAAAAATCCTTGGAATTCGTTGTTTTTAAAAATAAGTACATTATACATTGAAAAAAAATCGGGGGGGGGGGGCTCGCCGTCTTGGATTCCAGGGGGTACCTGTACCTCCATTCCTCTGATTTTAATCAATGTCTATACTTTTTCTACCAATGTATGATGACATCTAGCTTCAAAAATGAGTGGTTTCTTTCTATCGTCTACCGATTTACACGTATGCCGTTTTAAAAAATGATGGCTGGGCAAAAGATAATAAACAAATGATCAGGTGCCTTCCACATTAACAATTACATTGTGTTCGTCTGTAAACTTTTGACATTTTTGACTTCTTCAGAACCATTGGGCCAATTTCAACCAAACTTGCCACATATCACCCTTGGGTGAAGAGGATTCAAGTTTCTTCAAATGACGGGCCACATCCGCTTTCAAGGGAAGATAATTAATAATTAGTGAAACTTTGGTGGCATCTTTTAAAAAAACCTTTTCTCAAGAACCATAGGGCCAAAAAAAATGAAACTCATGTGAAACCACTTTTCCATAGCGTAGATTGAAATTTGTTTAAATCATGACCCCTGGGGGTAAAATGGGGTCACAATGGGGGATCAAAGTTTTACATAGGAATATTTAGGAAAAAAATCTTTAAAAAATCTTATACTCGAGAAGAACAAATCCATGATTAGTCATATTGATATGGAAGCAGTAGATCAGTAGATTTTACATAGGAATATTTAAGAAAAAATCTTTTAAAATCTTCTTTTCAAGAACATAGGAATATATATATATATATATATATATATATATATATATATATATATATATATATATATATATATATATATATATATATATATATATATATATAAGGGAAAAATTTTAAAGTTTACATGTAGGAATATATAGGAGAAAAAACGGCAGGACCATATTAACTCAGGTTAGCTTTGTGGCCCATGGGCCTCTTGTTAGTCTGTCCGTCGGTCTGTCGAGCTGTTTGTCTGTTAACCTGTTTTTCCGTATTTACTTAATTTACTCTTGAGCGGTTGGTGCTAGGGTTTTCATATCCTTATGACAAGACCTTTCCTTTGGGTACCAACATTTTTTATTTACCTCATGACCTTGACATTCAAGTTTGACCTATATTTGTAAGCTTTAATCAAGTTTAACCTTCGCCAAAAGATTTGAACGGTTGGTGCTATGGCTTTCTCATTTCACAAGTGTATTCCTTGTGACGAGAACTTCCTTTGGGTACCATTATTTCTTTACCTCATGACCTTGAAGTTTGTCCTTCTTTTGAAAAACTTTCATCTTTGGACCATGATCTGCCATACGGGGGCATTAGTTTTCTAGAAGCACATCTTGTTAAAGATGAAATGATTTTTTTACTTCCTCAACATTCAACAAAATCTGAGATTATACTGATGCATGGTTGGGCGACCGTTGAAGAGATCTGGCTAATTTTAGTGTCGTTCATGCAGCAATCTCTCCACGCTCAAAACCTCTGAGCAAAGGAGGTTTTAGGATTTATATTTTCTCAACAGTCAACTATTTCTGACAAAATACATGTAAAAGAGCCGGAAAAAACGCCCAAAGGCACTATCAGGCTAGATAAGTAGCATGCGATCAATCTTTCCCTTCCAACATATAAATTCATTAAAATTTTTCAATTCAATCCAGTGTCATGAAAAATACTTTGACCCAGATTGAAAAATGACCCGAGTTTTATTTTTTTTTTTCAACGCTGCGTATAGTACTTCCAAGAGAATTTAGCAATTAAAGGGCCCTCATGGGGCAAAAAGAAAGTACATTGTAAACACTTATATATAGTCATAATACAATATACATACACAAAAGAGAGAAAGAGTTGCATGATTGATAGGAGAAAGACATAAAAAAGGAGGAATAAACCAGATAGTTTTTATACATAATTATACATGTACATATTCTGCACAAATAAAAAAATATTTTTTTATATATATCATATATATGCAAACATATTTATATCATACACATATGAAAGTACATACTTTTGCATAATTCATCATAAAACAGTTCACATCCCTGAGACTTGACTTATAAATGGTAATGCTTTTTTAAAAAATCTTCCAAGAGAAAGTACTGAAACGGAAGGGGAAGGCTTAAGCCTTTTTTCGTTTAAAATTGAGACCAAAAGTCGTGAAATTTATACCCGGGGTCATAATTAGCATGTAACAGCTTGGGTTTTTTTTTTCGCTTGGCACTTTGACTTTTAGCAACGCGATAAACTTTAAAAATATTTAAATAAATTGTGAATATAAGAATGCAGAAATATAAGAGTTATTGCTCTTTGACCACTTAATAGATTAATGAAAGAAAATGCCAGTTGCTAACTTTTTTTAAAAAAAATAATTAGGCCTACAACTTTTTAACAGATAAATCAAATGATTCATATCCTTCCAAAAAGACTTAATTCTTTTGGGGAAGTTTTTGCAAAATCCCCTATGACGTCCATTTCTCATTTATCTGACATTTCTGATGTAAAGAATGTTTTGTTTCTACAAGTTAATGTAGAAATCTACATTAAAAAAGAAGAAACTGTGCTAATAGGAGCACTAGTCCATTCAGTGGAGGCCAAACCTCTTGTTTCGTCTGCTTCTCAACATGACTCAAGTAGATCTACCTAAACGTTAATTTTGGCATATACGTAACTGTTTTGGAAGGCTATTTTCAGTTTTCTAAAATTTCTATAATTTTCAGGAGTATAAATATTTTTAACTTTTCTTCAACTTTTAAATTGCCATTTAAAAAAATCTAGAGCTTTTATAAATCAAAATAGATCTATACAAATATTTTCTTCCATTTATTTTCATTTTGTAACGGATGTGCAAAAATAAATATTACTGAGCATGCGCAATCCAAATTAAGCAACAATGGCAGAAGGCGAACGAGATCAAGTACTTGCTGAATTTCAGGTATAAATTAAGGTGGTTTGTCAACTGAACCGGGTAATACACGGCTTCGTGGAACATAATAATACAGTTCTTTCTGCCGGTAGTGTCCCTTTTATTCTAGGTTTTCATTATATGGTACATGTAAATTTTTCTCCGATGTTGAACGTTTCACTACACTGTACATGCTGTGTATATATACATGTGTATACTGCCTCATATGTTCTAGCAAACTGATTTATAATGCATGGTTTTGTTGCTTGACCTTGTCTAAAATTAAGCTTTAACTAAATATGTTTTTTTAATCTCCCAAAACCGTCTGAATAATAATCTGGGCATTATAACAAACCTTGACATGTTATATGTAATTCGCAAGTAAACCTATCCTATAACAGATTTGTAGACAGTCACAGAAAAAAATGTATGTCCCAAAACATCTCACACAGCAGTACTGATCAGAATATGCAAGGATTCAGTTTCTTAATGTGTTTACAATTCAGGATGTGGATCAGTAGTAGTAAACAGAGTTGTAGGATAAGGGTATATTGGTTGCGCAAAGTTGAGCAAGATGATGTAGGTTTAGCTGACACAATATTCAAAATATTTTGGGAAATTTATTTCAAATTCACAAAATATAGGTAAACATATTTAAACAGTTAATAAACTAGATTTATCAATTTTAAATTATAGTTTAAGAACAGTAAACTATATTGTTAACAGTTCATTAGCTATGGTTTTCACCTCTAAAACTATATTTAATGGTTGTAATTAAACTATAGATTACGAATGCTAAAATAAGTTTATCTGTATGTAAATAATCATTAACAATAGATTTTGCTAATAAATATAGATTCTTATTTGTAAGCTATAATTTGCATTCGTTAACCATAGTTAAAAGGCATATAAAAAGGCATATATAAAGGCAGAGAGCGGGTAGTAAATCTCAGGTGAGGGTGGGGCTTAATTTTACAAGTGTGAATGCCTTGAGGGCTAGCAGTCTACCTGCAGTTGTGTTCTCTGTTAATCCCTATACACAGGTAATGACTTATACACAGAAAAAGACTCATGCACTGACATGCAGGGATGTACTTCACCTGTGTTGGATTAATTTGTAATGTCTCTAGGATGATTTTAAAATAATTTAAAAAATATTGGAATGTCTCTAGGATGATTTTAAAATAATTTAAAAAATATTGGAAATGAATAATTCCTATTGTTTTAAATTATTGTGATTTTTGTATAAGAATCATATTTTTTTATGTAGAAGATGCAAGATTTCACCATTCAGTTTTATTATAATAATATGGCATGATTAGAAGACGTCAGCCATAGGACAATTATGCATTCATTATTAATTACAAGAAAATGCATTATACACCCATGTGAGACCCTATTGCAGCGGATTTGATTAATACTAGTAGTATATAGGTCCCTGATGATAGCCATTTTTCAAAACTTCTTATAAAGCTTTATTTAGTTTAAATTATTCTTTTCTGCAATAGTGCATACAAGTAGGGATTCTCTGATCAACGAAGTTATCGATTTGGTTCGTCCTTGATGATCTTATGTTCCAGCATAATGAATCAGACATTCTATCTCAGAACCATATCACACATTGTTATGGTCACTGATAGGTTAATCGTAATTTTTTCATCAGACTCGAAAAGTGACGTAAATTTTTAATCGAATAATATATAAATTATAAATGATTACCGTGTAATAAATTAATGACATAAAATGACAATTTCAGTGATTGAGGATCAGCACTTTCAGTTTGGCCTAAAATTGATGAACATTTTAATTTGGTGTACACCATAATAATCAATAATCTGACTTGAAAAAACAATATTTTTTACATAAGCATGATTATCAATTACAGACTAATGACTTGTTGAAATTTTGAAAGCACTGTCAGACATTTAGTCTAACAAAGTCAAATGTTCTCAGGGTTGTGGATAACCACTCGCCCTCTCGCAAATGCAAGTAAAATTTGCTTGGGCGATTAGATACTAAAAATCTGGCCGCCCACACGAGAAACGATTTTTTTCTGGAACATAATCACATTTCAGATTTATATTGTATGTACAGTTTTAAGAAAACACCCTACTGACCTAGACTATTTGTGTCGCATGCAAGAATATTAGTCAAACACATACATGATTTTGATCAAACATTGCGATTTATCGAAGCGGTTAAATTTGTAATCACTGTTAAATTTAATGATACGAGGCAAAAGTTTGAGATTGTTCTTATAGAAATATTGTAACAATCGACTATGGTTGTCAGATACTCAATCCGGACTAGTTATTCATAGATAGAATTTGAATTATCATGTCAAATGCACACAATCAAAGATTGGAATCAAACTTCATCATGGGTTGTATGCAATTTATTATTTTATATGCCCCCTTGTTAAACCAGAGACACTTCAGTTGTATGGTTAAACACTACAAAATGTAATGAAAGTATTATCGGATCTCAGTTTTTAGAAAAGAGAAAACTTGAGGAAAATTCAAATGCTGCGAACATATTGATACCAGTTATTAAAAAAAAACTAAATTAAAAAAATTTAGGAGTTATTTGTTGTTATTTTTACTTAACATATACTGTCACATTAAATGTGGGCCAGTGGAACACATTGTGGGCCCGTAAAATTTGAAAAGGTTAGGAGCCCACATGGCCCCTAAGGTTTCAAAGTTAACCACAACCCTGGTTCTGTGTGTAAAGTTTGGATTTCTAGATGTGGAATTGAAAGTAAGTTATTTTGTTTGATCTACATTGTGATAGCGACAGATGGCAGTCAGGGGCATCATGGAAACAAGTTATGTTTTAAATAATTTGTTTAAGGTATTAAATGTCATTATTTGGGGTTATCTTTCCCTGATTTTGTTTTTCTTCAGTAACTTTTTGAGGTTATTAATACTTTACTATTCATTTTATTAATACTTTACTATTCATTATTTCTAACTTATAGGTATCTGAAAAGCTTTATTCATGCTATACTTAGGATATTAAGTAAACAGAAAAGGTTCATGACAGAAAAAGTCATCTATCTGTAAAATTTCACAAGTTGGAATTCAACAAATTGTAACTTACTTCAGTTATTTCATCCTTAACCCATCTCACTTTAGAACTCTTGCACAAAAATCTACAGCTTTGCACAAACGACCACTAAAATGTCCCTGAAATGGAATAATTTTTCTCTAATATTTTTATAAATATCATCCTATCTGATCAGAAGATATCAAATCTGCCAAGTCTATCAAGAGAAGTACATGTATTTACAACTTTCTTAGCCTTACATCTTCGTAAATCAGCAGCAAACTCAAAATATTGATGTTTTTTGACAAAATTGAAAGGCATTCTAGTTATTAAGAATTAACTCAAATGAGTTATTTCTTTGTTTAGTCATAAATAAGTGAAGTAACCTAAACAAGTTATTTTCAAAAATAATTTGATTCCATCATGCCCCTGACTGATGGGGGCAAGTACAGGCAAGTAAATAGATCTCCTTGAAGATTTGTTACTGAGAACTAGACAAATTTTGTTGATCCCTGATCTTCCTACTTCTTTTTCTTTTGGGCAACAAAGCTTCATCTTTCAGATTATTTTGTTTTATTTTATACTTCTATGAATCCTTCAGTGTTGTACTCAGATGACTGTTAATGCCCTTTGGTCTCTTGTTATGATACTGAGCACAATGGAGAAGTGACATTACACATACATATTCATGTCCACTGTTATTGGTATTTCAGGCTTTTACAGCCTTGGAAGACATTGATACTTGCATCCAAATCTTGGAGACAAATGACTGGAATTTAATGGTATGTTGAATATATATTTACATTAAGTTATTAATTATAGATTGAAAAATGATTTCATAAGGTTGATAGGGATATTTTATTATCCATTATGCGGGTTTAAAAAATGATAAAAAAAATATATATATATATATACCGGTAGGTATATATTTTAACAAAATTTTTGTTTTGTTTTTCATGATTTTTGTTTTGTTTTACAAGTGTTTCTGTATTTATTGTTACAGAGAGCAGTAAACAGTGTAATGCCTGGATCTGATGGAGGATTGTCCCCGACTGGTAGGGAACCCCCTCCTTCAGGCTTTGAGGACATAAGCCCTCCGCCCTACTCTGCATCATCTCCAGACAATGATAACAATATTGCAGACTCCAGGGCTTTTTTTGACCCCAGTTCTGCATCAGAATGTAATGTAGCCATCCCATCCACAAGTAATTCATCCCCAAAGCGAAGACATCCAGGAGGTGGACCGAGACCTAGGATGTTAAATTTTAAAGTGGAATACAGAGATCAAAACTTTTACTTCAATGTTGGGGACAATGAGAAAATTGGTAATGATCATGTGTTTTTATGCCCCCCGTAATGGAAGATTATGTACGTTTGTCCACAAAAACTTTAACCTTTGATTGGTTAGAGCTAGAGCTTTCATATTTCACATGTGTATTCCTTGTGACAAGATCTTTCTTTGGGTACCAACTACCAACATATTTGACCTCTTGATCTTGGAGTTTAACCCACTTTTGCAAAACTGTACCAAACTTTAACCATGGACATAACTTTTGAATGGTTGGTGCTAGGGCTTATATATTTCACAGGTATATTTCTTGAGGTATCTCCTTCCTTTGAGTTTAAATATTTTTTACCTTGACCTTGGAGTTTGACCTATTTTTGAAAATTTTTTACCATGGCCATAAGTTTCGAATAGTTGGAGCTAGAGCTTTTATATTTCATGTGTTTTCCTTTTGACAATACCTTTCCTTGGGTACCAACAATTTTGACCTTCTAACCTTGACCTTGGAGTTTGACTTTCTTTTGAAAAATTTTAAACATGGCCAAAACTTTTGAATGGTTGGTGCAAGGTCTTTCAAACTTCACATTTGTTCTTTGTGAAAATACCTTCCATTGCAAACAAATGTTTTTGACCTTGACCTTAAAGCTTGACAAACTTTTGAAAATCTTTCACCTTGACCATAATTTTTGAATGGTTGGAGCTAGCGCTTTTGTATTTCACATGTGTATTCCTTGTGAGAAGACCTTTCCTTTGGAATTAACAATTTTGATCTTCAACTTTGACCTTAGAGTTTAATTTACTTTTGAAAAACTTTGACCAAGCCATAACTTTTGAATGATTGGTGCTAGGGCTTTCATTTATCACAGGTGTATTCCTTGTGACAAGGTCTTTTCTTGTGTGCTAATATTTTGATCTCATGAGTCATGACCTTGACTTGGAGTTTGACCTACTTTGAAAATCTTAAACCATGACCTTAATTTCTGAATGGTTGGTGCAAGGGCTTTACATTTTACAGGTGTATTTTTTGTGACAAGACCTTTCTTTGGATACCAATATTCTTAATCTTTTGACTTTGACCTTGGAGTTTAATTTGCATTTGAGAAGCTTTAACCTTCTCCATTAGCTGCCATATGAGGGCATCAGTGTTTCACAAACATATCTTGTTTTTTTTATTATTAAGGTCTTCCGTCTTCACGGAAGACCTTATAGTGATTCTACTGTTTCTTATTATTATTATTATTATTATTTTTTTTTTTTTTTTTTGACCAAATTTTGTGCAGGCGTTTTCTCGAAAACTATTCAGTGGTTTTTCGTGAAACTTTCAGGAAAAATTAGTCATTGTATGAACTTGTTTCATCACAAGGAAAATTTGGAAAATTCCATTTTGGTTCCAAGTTACGGGCAATTTCCTGATTTTAAAATGAAATTTTGTCCGCGAGTGTTCTCAAGAATGACTAAAGATATGAACTGGAGACTTATTGGAGAGCATAGAATGTGACTTCTAAATTTGTGGAATCACATTTTCGTTCGTCGTCGGCACTTCCGGTCGTTTACGGAAGTGATCAAAGAAATCATAAAATTTCAACTTTCTTTTTTTAAATCAATACTTACATCACATTATTGCATCTCTTTTGTAGTTTCGAAATATGTTGGTCCCACCGGAAACAAAAACGTTAACTTCCGGTTATAAGAGAAAAACTACTTAATATTAGTATTTTTCTTTCCCATTAATATACTTTGTAGATAAAGTATTTGAAATGAATTTTAAATATGTTATTCATACTGCAGATATCTAGAGTAACATCAAATATCTTTGTAAAATTCACTTCCGGTCGCGTGTTTTCCTGTCCTCAAAATGAGAAGTTCTCTGAGCAAGATCTCGGAAACGGTGAGAGATTAAGACACCAAACTTATATGATCAACAGACCTTAAGATTTAGGCAAAACCACTTGGGTTCAGAGCGTCAGCTGTCACTTCCGGTTGTCACAGGAAGTGATCAAAGAAATCGAAAATTTCAACTTTTCTTTTTTTAATTAAAAATTGCATCACTTTATTGCATCTTTTTCGCAGATTCGAAAGATGTTGGTCTCACCGGAAACAAAAGCGACAACTTCCGGTTATAAGAGAAAAACTACATAATTTGAGTATTTTACTTTTCCATCAATATTTTTTCTAGAAAAAGTATTTGAAATGAATTTTAAATATGTTATTCAGACTGCAAATGTCTAGAGTAATCGTAAATATCTTTCAAAAATTCACTTCCGGTCGCATGTTTTCCTGTCTTCAAAATGTGAAGTTGTCTGAGCGAGATCTGAAAACCAGGTAAAAGATTAAAACACCAAACTTTTATGAGTAATAGACCTTGAGGAGTAGGCAAAACCATTTGGGTTAAACGCGTCAGTCGTCACTTCCGCCTGTCACAGTAAGTGATCAAAGAAATCTAAAAAAAATTAACTTTTCTTTTTTAAATTAATGCTTGCATCACTTTATTGCATCTCTTTCGCTGTTTTGAAATATGTTAGATTCCACCGGAAACAAAAACGTCAACTTCCGGTTTTAGGAGATAAACTACTTTACTTTGATATTTAACTTTCTCATAAATATTGCTCATCGATAAAGTACTTGAAATGACTTTATGTATGTTGTATATACTGCAAATGTCTAGAGAAAAGTCAAAGATTTTTATAAAATTCACTTCCGGTCTCATGTTTACCTGTCCTCAAAATTAGAATTTGATCTCACAATATTGCTCGGCAACAGTAAACGACTGAAGTCTAAAACTTTCAGGACTGATGGTCAGTCATCAGTTATATGAATCGTGAGAAAATTTTGTATCGCCGTTACTTCCGGTACTTCCGGTCGTGACCGGAAGTGATGTAAAAATGAATGGTTAACGTTAGCAAGTTGGATTTTCAAGCTGACGACCAGGGTTAAATTTCCAGAGTGTCTGAATTTCTTTTATCTCTTTTTCAGCTTGAATTTTCGTTTTTATTTTCAGAATCGGACGGAAGACCTCTCATTGCTCGCAATGAGTTTCTAGTTATTATTATTATTTTCTGAAGACTTTCTGCAATGGTTTTACACAGTTATATTTGTTGTAAATAGTTACATCATACATGTATTATCAATATACTCTAGGCAAAGTGAAAGAACTTCTGTCTCAGAAAATTGGAGTGTCTCCAGAAAAACAAAGCTTGAGAGGCTGGAGTACCAGGAAAACAAGAGTGGAAGATGATGTAAGATATCTAAGAATAATATGGTTTTAGCTCAGCTCCAGAAGGTTAAGGAGAGCTCATGTTTTAATCTGGTAATCAGTATTATTGGTTAATATTTTTGGAGCAGTTCTATTTCCAACTTATTATGCTCCAAACTTGGTTGGGTGCATGGGTGAGGTTCAAAGTTGACTTAGAAATACATTCTTTTATATATATATATATATATATATATATATATATATATATATATATATATATGTTATATATATATATATATATATATATATATATATATATATATATATATATATATATATATATATATGTATATAATAAAACTCGTATAGTACAAACACAGATATAGTGAATTTATGGATATAGCAAAGTTTTTTGCAATCCCTGGCGAAATCTTTAACAATACCTTGTGAAATTTTACAGATATATAACGAACTCAGATAAAGCGAATTTACGGTTATAGCGAACTGATTTTGTGTCCCCTAGAAGTTAAACATAATGAAATTGTCATCTTTTATAGCGAATTTTCAAAGATCTAAATTTTCAAAATATTGATCAACATTAATTTTGTGAGTATTTATATTTGAAACTCAATACAACAGAAAACTTTTGAACTTCAAAGTAAATTTTGTATTTTATACGTCCTTAAATACATATGGTCATACTTGAATGAAAAAATAGATATTGTGAATTCGCTATGTATATTGTAAGAAATTTTTTATATGAATATAACAAATTACGGATATAGTGAAGTACATTCCCAGATCTCCAGAACTTTGCTATAACCGAATATATATATATAATTCTTTATAAATACTTTGTACAAAAAAATATGGGAATGATTAGTCAAATTAATATGCAAGCAAGGATTGGGTCACAATTAGACATGGGAAAAAATCTTTAAAAATTATATTCTCAAGAGAGCAGGGCCACAATTAGTCATATTAATATGCAGTCATCCTCATGTGATGTTTGAAAGCAAACCCTTAGGAACTAGACTGGGTCAACAATTTATACAGAAATTAACAGACATCTTGAAGAATAGACTAACGATTGTAAAATTGACATCAAATCTCAATACACTTTAGAATTGTTGAAATCACAGACTTAAATTTTAAATTAGATATTTTATGTATTTCAGGATTTTTACACTTTATATCTTTTTCCTGATCTTTGTGGAATGAATTGATATTTACAGAAAATTCTGAGAGATCTGCATCTTCCTAAAGAGAACACATTATTCTTATTAACTCCTGATGTCTCAAATCCCACACTTGTCAAACCAACAGTTGATGTAGAAATGGAAAGGTGAGAGAAGCCAGAAACTATCCTTTTAAATTATCAGATTCTATAACAATTAAAAAGATATTTTGGGAATTCTATGTTGCATTAATTATATGCATGCTGATACAGTCATTTTAGTGGTTTCATTTCATTACAGTTTAACAGAAGCCTTAAATAGAACATATGCCCTGCATATTAACTTCACAGAAAATGGAGAGGTGCGGCATTATAAGTTAAATATGCCTGGGAGTAAAACTATTGGAGAGGTAGATATTTTCTTTATGAACAAACTAGGAAAGCAATTATCTTTTTTTTTACTTTTGTTTGTCTGGACGATGTTAAAAAAAAGTTGCTTAGACCTTCAGGGACAAAGAGAAAACAATTGGATTTTAAGGCAGGTGTAGTTAAGATACATACAAAGTGAAGAATTCTTTTTGATTTTATAACCTCTTTTGGTTGTAGACAAGAAGAGGTTATGCAATGGTAATTAGTCTTTCATTATGTTAGTCACTGAACAGTCTCCCACTACAGTTTTGGTCTTACTTCAGAAAAAACTTTGAATAGTTGTTGACTGTATCAAGATACATGTACAGTGTACATAACTTTGTTTCAGTTTTTGATTTCCAACATACAATCACTGATTTTAAATTAAGGATGTTGCTTTTCATTGAAATCTGAATTCAGAAGAGAAATGTTTTAAAACACATGTACAAATCTATTTCAAGTCAAAGCTAGTAGAACTTTAATACATGTATCATGAGAGACTTGTATCATGGCTGTGGTGTTTTTCCTTTGAAGTAAAGTGTACAATAACTGGAGATACACTTATGGGCGGAGCCAGCAAAACTGTGCCGTGTAAATAAATTATTGAACACCAAAGTGATTTCAACATTTTAAATTACATGTATATTGAAGAATTACGGAATAAAATGGGCTTTGTTATATACAAAGACAAAATTTCTGAAAATGAAATAAGGGTCTTTCACATTATAAATTACAGTGCACTTGTATCCCAAAATACGAAATGTTTTTACGGAACTCTGCAAATATTCGATCCACCGCATCGAGAAATCAAGTTCTTGACATGAATTCCACAAATAAATATCTTAAAATATTGTAATAGAGCCTTTTAGCAAGATGTTCCATCTGTCATGTTGTAAATTTTGAATTTACCGGGTGGCAGTAAATACAAAATTTACAAGTTGTCATGTTGTAAATTTTGTATATACTGCCACCTGGTAAATTCAAAATTTACAAGATGACACATCTTTGCTGTATTCTTTGCTCAACTAGAATAAAGTTCAGCTGCACTGCATTCATAGATGAAGAGTTATTAACATAGCGTTTTTGCTCATGCCACAGCTCTCGAATATGTCAAATGATCAACGGGTATCTTTTTTTTTCCCTTGATTTTCGATTAACACCTGAATTTCCCTTCTTCAACTTTGAATTTTTCATCCTTGAAATCCTAAGGTTTTCTTATGAATTTCATTAACAATCTGTTTTTAGACTGTGGCTATTTATAGCCACAGTCTATTGCTGCTGCTTTTAGGCTATAAATAACAACAGTGTAAAATCACGGGGACCCTAGCGGCGATTTTGGCAGAGTCAAAATAATGAAAATAGGGTTGATTCGATGTTTGAAAATAAAATGCATATGGTTAACAAATACTCTCAAGTTATTTCAAAGACATTTTGTTGATGGGCACAAAGCTTAATTCCTGATATTCGCCATTATCAATATTTCTCGCTTCATGAATATTCATTAAATTACACCATCCTACAGCTAATACTAATTTGTACACAAACCGACTCGTATATTCGTATGCAAACCAGAAAAGTCAATTCGTACGTATTTTTTTCGTTTTTAGCTTACCTGAGCTGAAAGCTCAAGTGAGCTTTTCTGATCACATTTTGTCTGTAGTCCGTCTGTCTGTCTGTAAACTTTTCACATTTTTGACTTCTTCTCCAGAACCACTGGGCCAATTTCAACCAAACTTACCACAAAGCATCCTTGGGTAAAGGGGATTCAAGTTTGTTCAAATGAAGAGCAACACCCTCTTTCAAGTGGAGATAATAAAGAATTAGTGAAAAATTAATAGCATCTTTTAAAAATCTTCTTCTCAAGAACCACAGGGCCAGCAAAGATGAAACTCATGTGGAAGCATCCTCAGGTAGTGTAGAATCAATTTTGTTCAAATCATGACCCCCGGGGGTAGGGCCGGGCCACAATGGAGGATCAAAGTTTTACATAGAAATATATAGGAAAATTTTTTAAAAATCTTCTTCTCAAGAACAGCAAAGTCATGATGAGTCATATTTATATGGAAGCATCCTCAGGTAGTGTAGAATCAAGTTTGTTCCAATCATGACCCCTGGGGGTAGGGCCGGGCCACAATGGAGGATCAAAGTTTTACATAGAAATATATAGGAAAAACCTTTAAAAATCTTCTTCTCAAGAACAGCAAAGCCATGATGAGTCATATATATGGAAGCATCCTCAGATAGTGTAGATTCAAGTTTGATCAAATCATGACCCCTGGGGGGGGTAGGGCCGGGCCACAATGGAGGATCAAAGTTTTACGTAGAAATATATAGGAAAAACCTTTAAAAATCTTCTTCTCAAGAACAGCAAAGCCATGATGAGTCATATTTATATTGAAGCATCCTCAGGTAGTGTAGAATCAAGTTTGTTCAAATCATGACCCCTGGGGGTAGGGCCGGGCCACAATGGAGGATCAAAGTTTTACATAGAAATACATAGGAAAAACCTTTAAAAATCTTCTTCTCAAGAACAGCAAAGTCATGATGAGTCATATTTATATGGAAGCATCCTCAGGTAGTGTAGATTCAATTTTGTTCAAATCATGACCCCTGGGGTTAGGGTGGGGCCACATTGGAGGATCAAAGTTTTACATAGAAATATATAGGAAAAACCTTTAAAAATCTTCTCAAGAACAGCAAAGCCATGATGAGTCATATTTATATGGAAGCATCCTCAGGTAGTGTAGATTCAATTTTGTTCAAATCATGACCCCCAGGGGTAGGGCCGGGCCACAATGGAGGATCAAAGTTTTACATAGAAATATATTGGAAAAACCTTTAAAAATCTTCTTCTCAAGAACAGCAAAGCCATGATGAGTCATATTTATATGGAAGCATCCTCAGATAGTGTAGATTCAAGTTTGATCAAATCATGACCCCGGGGGGGGGGGGGGCAATGGGGGATCAAAAGTTTTACATAAGAATATATAGAAAAAATATTTCTTCTCAAGAACAGAAAAGCTATGTTTAGTCATATTGATATGGAATTATCCTCAGGTATTGTAGATTCAAGTTTGTTCAAATGATGACCCCTTGGATAGGGAGGAGCCACAATGAGGGATCAAATTTTTACAAAGGAATATATGGGAATTTTTTTTAAAATCTTCTCAAGTACAACAAAGCCATTTGTCATATTGACATGGAATCATTATCAGGTAGTTTAAAATTAAAGCCCCCCCCCCCCCCCCCCCCCCCCCCCCGTTAATCTTTTCAATACTGAACTGATTTGTGCTTTTGCCTAGCCAGTGTGCTCAGGTGAGCAATGTGGCCCATGGGCCTCTTGTTATGAACATGGCACAACTGTGAAAAGTCAGTTCGTACACACCGTTTTTTTTAAACGTTGTGTTTATGTAAAATTTCAATAATATTTATTAATAGTCAGAATATTTGAGGGAAAAAATATTTGAGGATAATGGTTCCACATTTTAACTCTGAAATCAAATAATTATAATTGCTAAACACACGCACGGCGGTTTCTTAGTTACATATATGCGACAAACACTTCCCAATTTGATACTCCCTAATTACGAGATACTCCATGTTAGGAAAGCGTCAACCTCCAGATTTCTCCAATTCCAAATTATGGTTCGAGGACTGCACATTCCTTGTTCCGGAATGCATGTTTTTTAAATGTTTTATTTGAAACGTTTTTTGGAATTTTTATACAATAAAACTTTAAAAGTTAATTGTAATTTTACGATGTCTTTTGATTGTTTGAATTTCTATTATCTGTTGACGATACTACAGAAGAAAGATATATATTTTAGGAAAGAAAAAAAGAGATCACGACACCTTAATCAGCATCTTAGCTAGCCAAGGGTTTCTGATACGCTACTCTCCTCATAAACCCTTGGCATACGGTGCTGACAAAAGACGGGATTGTTTTTGTCACGTGATCATGATTCTTACCAGGTACGCACAGATTGTGTCATCAACAGAAATAAAAAGCGTATTCAAAAAAATTTTGTTTTTAAAGAATGAACAAGAAGGTATTGCATTATGTTAATTTGTTATTTAAACATGTAAAAATGCAAATCTACATCTTCAGTATAGATTCTTAATCACATATTTTGCACGTTGCTTTAGAAATTGGATGACACCATATTGCTATTCATAGAATGGCATGTTATCTTACGGATCATTGTTTACTTGCGTTTTACATTACCCATATTAAAGAGTCAAGATATATCCCGAACGCAAATATCGTCATTTACAAAAAACAATTGCTGATTGGTCGAACGATGTCGATCAACTCCAATCACAACTTGAGAAAAAAATCCCAACTTCTTTTAACACCGTATGCCAAGGGCTTATGAGGAGAGTAGCATATCAGAAGCCCTTGGCTAGCGAAGATGCTTAATCAGTTAAAGATATACACGCTATAACCTGCTTCAGTTAAAAATAAAGTTGGAAATTTATTTAGTTTGTTTACCAAATAAAGTTACGAAAATATTGTAAATTACACAATTGGAAATGAACGCATTATAAAGATCTCAAATTATAATTATTTATTATCCTACCAGGAAAGTAATGCTATATTTATATTCATGCATCATGTGACACCCTCGCTACTTTTAGATTGATAAACAAAAATAGCATCAAGAAAACGAGGTAGGCCGTTTGGTATACAAAATAGCTTTTGACATGGATGGCATACGTTTTATGTTTAAAGATACTTATCTTTGAAAACAACCATTATTAACCATCTACTCTGTAATGACAGATATTAACTTTTATTCAAAATAGTAGTCAAAATGCAACGTACCTCGTTGTCTATGATTTCCCGCAGACATTCGTGTCTATATACTGATTACGCACTTCCTTGATCAATATTCATGAATAGGCTGAATTCTTAATTGCAGATCTTGCTTAATTGTTTTGTAATTACAACGACTTATTTAGTAAAACTTTGTGGAAAGTAATGATTTTTTAATATACATCATGTTTCTCAAATCATTTAATCATTTTGTTTCACGTAAAAAATTGTGTTTATATAGCGTGTATATCTTTAATATATGAATTGTTGGAGGCAGATATGATGCCATAAAATTTGCAAAGTTTATTACGATTCTATCTATAAAAAAGTACATGTAAGCCATTGCCTAATTATCTCAAACACAAAAACTACTGAACGAATGCTAATTTATCAAAACTAAAATTAAAAAGACTGTGACGGACAAAAGTTACCCATATATTTCATTCGTATTTGAAAATTCTATCGTGCCTCGATTAAAATTTAACCTTTAAAAAGTGTAAGAAAAAAGGTACTCAAATACATGTGCATGAAATATTAGGATTTTCTTGCGAATTCAGTGGGTTTAATTTAGGTCAGTTTTCTCCTGCATTTGTTCACAAATTAAATTTCATATTGCACAGTGACTAGCAGAAATATGCAGGGTCAGTGCATATTAAGATTACGTATGAGAAATGGCATCATCGCAAACCACAGCCAAAATGTACGATCTCCCATTCTGGAGAGAGCTATATGCGGACTCAGTGGTTTTAGACGATGGATAAATAGAAGCTGACAAATATTTTGTTATTCTGTTCTTTTTTTTCTTTTCAAACAGTATATATCAAACAAAAAAGTAAGACTTTTGTACAATGTCACACAATCTGCAGTACATGGCCAAAAGTGATTCATCATTTTCCTCTTTACCATATACTTCATAAAAAGTAAGTTTTTGTTAAAAAATATTGTGGGTTCAATTCTACTCAAAATTTCACAAACTTTTCGATAAGTTGCGAAAAATTGTTCATATTTCCAAGGGGGGGGGGGGGGACAAAATTTGATTATTGATCACTGAGTAAAGATTTGAAATAATAAAGTCAACATTTCTAACTTCAGAAACCATGATTTCATTACACGTTCTTTTGTAAAACATGCATCTTAGAATAAAAATGTTCAGTCACTACATGAATATATTAGGAACCTTGATTCCCTTATGATTTAACATTTGGGGTAAACTGGTTTTGACACGTTTTAAGCAATAATTTATGGGGAAAAAATACTAAAACATGAGATCCCAAAATCCATTATTTGAATATATAATTTCAATCTGTCATCATCCTTAAATATGTTTTCATTTTAAATTTGCAATTATGACTGTATACCACAATAGTACATATAGAAAAAAACCTGAAATATTGAACTTTCGTTTCTGGCATTTCAGCATAGTTTATTTTTTCTTCAAACCTTATTTTATAATAAACCTAATGCAGAAAATTTCATGCAATAAATTATTTAACAACTTTGATTAATATATGTCCTCACCATACTACGGAAATATAAATTTACTTATTAAAAGACCTGTATCGTGAAAAATTGCAATAAACTTTCATAATTTCCATCATATCATGTTACAGATTCTTACAACATTTTATCTCATTCAATGCCAGTATCCGTGTGGCGTAGTGGTTAGAGCGTTTGCTCTAGAGTCACGGACATGAAGGAGTCGATCCTTACTTAGCGGGTTCGAATCCCACTGCGGGACGTGGAAACAGTTAAACTGAGGTCCCGTGTCGCAGTAAGTGCTGGTCAGAAAGAGATCCCTCAATACCCAATGGCCTGGAGTGCTGAATATAGATCTAAATTTGCAGCCCACCAACGGCAATGGTGATGTCTTAATACGAGTGAAAAATTCTCGAGAGGGACGTTAAACAAACAAAATCATTCATGCCACCGTCTATCAGTACTCACAGTACTTTGATTATATTAAGTTCGAGAGCTGCAATCCGACGTTCTTTCTCATGAACACACACATAAAATCTGCGAATTAAAAAATAATTGTGGGAAGGAGAGAATACCCATGCGGTCACCTGACAAAAACTAAATTTTTTATTGGTGTAATTAAAAATCATGCTTGAAAATTTGGGACATAACAGTTATTGACGTTTTGATTGGCCATGATACAAGAAAGTTATTGAATATTTATTATGGTGTATCCTGATTTATTTGGACGAAGGGGCGGAGACTCGTGCTTCGCACTTGTCACTGCCCTTCGTCCAAATAAATCAGGATACACCATAATAAATATACAATAACTATTACTCATGCTTAATATTGCCATGTTTAATTTTTCAAAGGTCCCAGAATATTAGATAAGTCATTGAAAGAAATGCTAATTGAAGCTATTGTTAAAATCATACATATTTGATGTACGACATGTATATACTCTCGTTATCTTTTGTCATTTAATTATCAAAAATGTTCAGTAACTCATGGCCAGAATAAGGGGTTCCATTCACACACTGGCACATTCATCTCAAGGGAAGAGAAATGTCTTAAGATGTAACTCTTTCAAGATGAAGTGAAGATATTTAATACAAGAATAAATATTATGTCAATTAAATTACATTTTTTTCTGCTTTATAAAATATACAGGTAAAAAGTGATGTGTATGCCCTCACAAACTTGCCAGCAAGACATCAGATATGGACAGGTTGGCCTGATTCTGCAAAAAATGATGACTCTGTAAGACTTTCATCAATTAATGAAAATTTAAACCGAAAATCTGATTGATATAGAATGTATATTGATATTTTTAATATACATGTACATGCACTATAGTAATATATTCATGTTGTCCTGTGTTGTAATTTCAGATGACAATTGGCTGTTGTGGTTTGAATTATCCCATCCATAATTTAGAGCTTACAAAAGCAAATATTATAACAAGACCTAAAAAGGTGCCATTTAATGTGAGTGTATATTTTAGTTAAGTATTTGTTGTTTTTGTTGTACAGATATTTTTATAATTTATTATGACATCCATTCAACAAAGTTATTGGATATTATGTTTTTCTTTTAATGTATTACATGTAGCTGTTTATAAATTTAGGAGGTGGTACAGGAAATAGAAATAAGTGATGATGATGATGATGATCTAAATCCAATGGAAGATGACATGTTTGACCATGATGATATACCAAGCAGAGGAAGACCTACACCTTTGAGTAAGTACAAGTTCTGTGAATATGTCATAAATCATGTGTTTCTATTGTTCTGGCCCATATACATGCATAAAACTACCATTCCCATCCTTTTATGATTGTTCAAAGTACATGTATTTGACCTTGCTACATTTAAGTAATCATCATATTAACACCACACAATTCTATTTTATTGCCCAATTAAGTCAGGTGTTAATAAAAATGTAGCTACATAGATATTGTTTCACAATTACCTGCAGTAGTCATGAACTTGGTGACACTGTACAACTCATGCTAATGAATTTCTTTACAATCACTGGAAGTGGATAATGATTTCAATTTTTAGGGTGCACACTAAACAGAGATGTGCATTTAAAAAAATATTCCAAAAAGTACATGTATGAATGCATAAACTTCGAAAGTGACATTCAGAATTTGGGCTGCATTCAAGTTCATAGCAGCCAGGCTAGCTTCTAGGCTAGATATTTAGATTTTTTGGATGCACTGTATGAATTTAATGCTTGTTATCAATATGTAGCAAATAGACTAGTATATCATTCAAGATCAAAGCTCTACATAGCCACTACAATCTTGAATACAGTCCTGTATTCTGTCCATCAATCTTTTTTTGTCTCCTACGCCAAAACTCAATTCAGTGAAAGTAATTCTTGGTTTATTGACTCTAAAAATGTATTTTGTGTGAAAAATTTAATATATCATTAAATAAAACAATTAAAAATAGTAAGTATTTTGTAAATTTCAGTGCCTGAGTCTGTAAATGATGAAGTAGAAGCATTAGAACACTTTACCAAAGAATTCAGAGAAAGGTATTATAAAGTACAATGAAGATTTTAAACAAATTACATGTGTAAGTTTAATGCATATAAAAGAATCAAGATTACCCTTATTTTTCAATAATTCCATTTCTCTTTGTTTTCTCTGTGATAACTCTTTGAAAGTTGATTGAGTTGATTTCTTGATCGGGCTTTGCCCGTTATGCAGATTATCCCACGTTTCCAACTATCGTTGATGCCCTGGCATACTCTACTAACTAGACAGTGATTCCTTAATAAAACACTCGTAATGATGTTGATTGTTTGTTTTAGGTATGGTGAAACACATCCAGTATTCTATGTTGGTTCTTTAGAAGATGCAATAAAAGAAGCTCTAAATGGTAAAGCCAAAGATGTAAGTAAATTTTCATATTTCTAACAATATATGAGTAATCAAGTGAATTTTATGCATATTTGTAAGTTTCTCTCAGAGAAAAAATTTGTAAAGCTACATGTATATACATGTACATTTGAGGCTTTATAGAGTATATCAAAACACTTGAGTCCATTTGAATGAATACATGTACAGTGTGTGACAGACTTCTCACTAATAAGATCTTTTTTTTCAACAGAGAAAATTGTTGGCTGTATATCTCCATCATGATGGGAGTATTTTATCAAATGTGTTCTGTTCTCAAATCCTGTGTTCTGATAGTGTGGTTAATTACCTTAGCAGTAACTTTATAACCTGGGCATGGGACATGACACATGAGACAAACTGTGCCAGGTAACACATTTAATAATCATGTACCTGTATATCACAACAATTTTTTAAACCAATTTGATAAAGTTGCACAAATGTAAATTTAACATCCATCTGTAAATATTATTATACATATAAAGCATTTACTGTTTTGTTTACAGGCTCATCACTATGGCTACCAGGCATTTTGGTAATGTAGTAGCTGGACAGATCAGATGTCTTAAACCAGAACAATTGCCTATGTTATTAGTTATTTCTAGAGCAAGAGCTACAAATGAAGTCATAGATATGATTCCAGGTTTGTGATAGATTGCTTTAGACCATGTTCAGTGATTAAACATGTTAAACTTATTGTGCATACTTGTGTGTAGTAGACGTCCCCTTTTTTGGATGTTTTTCTTATTAAGACCATTGTTTAGTTTATGGTGAAAATCCGAAACAAGAAAGAACAATATATTAAAGAAAATGACAAATGAACCAATATTCTAGCATGGGGTGTTTGATACTATGCCATGATAGAAAGAATATGAAAGAAGGAATGAAAACATAAAAAATTTCATAAAAGTTTAACTTGGATTAAATTGGACCTGATTAAAATAAATTAGAAATACTTAAGAGATTAAAACAATGAAATTATGCATTAACTTATGTTTTACATATTTTGATTCATGTGAATACAAAAGTATATTTTATCAACACATTATGTAAAATGTCGTAGAGGTCATGTACACACCTTTAACATGTGGTTCAAATGCTGCAGCCACAATGCACAGGACATTGATAAATGACCAATGAAAGGGTTTTAAAGCCACAAGTTTAAAAAGTTCTTAATATTTTTTCAAACCTGATATTTTACATTGTAGGGTCAGTAACATTAGATGAACTTATGACAAGATTAATTCATGATTCAGAAAGCTTCCAACAACAACAAAGAATAGACATCCAAGATGAGGTCAGGAATAAAACAACTCTTAATGCTAACATAAATTACATGACTCTTAAACCATGAAATGTAAAACTTCAACCAAGGGTCTTGTAACTTCATGATCCAGTTATGGAAAAACAAAGCATGATAAAATGGTGTGACTGAACAGAAATAATAATAATAGAAATGCTAAGAGATTTTTATATAATATTATGAATGGATTTCTAGGAAGAGAGAGAGGCTCGAGACACAATAAGAAGAGAACAAGAGGAAGCATTTAAAGAGTCACTAGCTGCTGACAGAAAGAAGGTGAGGCAGGATTACAGTTAGGAAATGAACACTGTGAATATAAATGTGTTCTCCTCACTATATCTCTTTGTTCCTGTTCTTAATAAAGACCCTTGGCTTCATTTTATTTAATATTATGAGACTTTTGTTAGCAGCAGAACTGTAGCTCTCTGGTGTTGGACAGAAAAAACAGAGAGCTACAGATCCAAGCATTGCAAAAACTTCCATATTTTACTCCTAATCTTGTTACTTTATTAACTTTAAATGGTTTTAAACAGTTCTATATGGACTTGGAATTCCAAGGCCACATAGGACTGATTAGAATCAATTAAAAGATAAATAAAGTAACAAGATTAGGAGTAACATGCTTTGAGGGGTGATACATATAATGTAAGAAAAAATACCCAAAGCATGCAACGAAAGAAGTGGAAGGTATTTACAATGCTTTGATCTGTAGCTTTATGACTAATTTTCACTATTTTTTTTATCTATCTATAGGTTGAAGAACAAAGACTCCAGCAGGAGATGGAGATAAAAAAACAGGAAGAGGAAGAGAGGCAGAGGAGAGAGGAAGAGGAGAGGAAAATGGTAATACTTCTAAATATTCCAGATTTAGTGATTTTCTTAATCCTGAATATTATCTTATTCATGAATTTTTTGGGGTTTGCTTTACATACATGAATAATTTTAAAATAATTTTTCCCATAAAAATGCACATTGGAAAATATAAATTTTCTTCACAAAATGCACAGGGCTACAAATTGTCATGCATAGGTAAATTGCATAGGTATCATCATGTATTGTAGGATAAAGTTTGTTCAGATTATGGCTCCTAGAGCAGAATCGGTCTTTCAGCAAAAGATTGTCAGTGTTTTGTGACGCAAATATTACATTGTCTATCGACCTTCAAACCTTCATATTCTCTAAACAGGTGTAGAATTATTAAGGATGTCTAAGATTTTGTGGTCACTGGGAAAGGTCAATGAAAGTTTTTCAAAAGTAGGACAAACTCCAGATCATGAGTTAAAGAAATAATGGTACCCAAAGGAAGTTCTCATCACAAGGAATACACTTGTGAAATGAGAAAGCCATAGCACCAACCGTTCAGAACTTTTGGTGAAGGTTAGGGTTGATTAAATTTTACAAAAATAGGTCAAACTTGAATGTCAAGGTCATGAGGTAAATAAAAAATGTTGGTACTCAAAGGAAGGTCTTGTCGTAAGGATACGAAAACCCTAGCACCAACCGCTCAAAAGTTATGAGCAAGAGTAAATTAATTTTTTCGGACAAACAGGTTAACAGACAAACAGCTAGACAGACCGATGGACAGACTAACAAGAGGCCCATGGGCCACAAAGCTAACCTGAGTTAATGGCTCTGCTGTTTTTTCTCCTATATATCCCTATATGTAAACTTTAAACTGTAAGAGGTAGGGATTTGATATTTTGCTTATGTATTGCTTGATACAATGACTTTTGAAAAATACTAGGATTACCATTTTGTGACCTTTGGATTTAACCTTTGACCTACTTTTCAAAATAGTTCATAGTGCTGATAAATGGATATTCTTTGACTTCTGAGAGGTATATATTAGTCTGTGCCATTTAGCATGTGCGCTGTGTTTAGTAAGACCATGTACCAGCGTTAAAGGCAGAGATTTTTTACCGGGTGGTAAATTCCAGGTGAGGGAGGGGCTTATTTTATATTGGTGTGAATGCCTTGAGGGCTAGCAGTCTACCTGTGGTCATTTGTCTCCTAATCCCTATACACAGGAAGTGATTTAATACACAGTAGAATACCCAAGAAGTAAAAACTTTACCTGTATTGGGATTTTGAGATGATTTTGAATTAGAAATAAAAGGTTGTAAATAAAGTTTAATCTCAATGATTTTTTATTAATTTTAATTGAATGTGTGTCAAAGCATCCCCACCCATAAAAGAAATTATTATTCAAAGTATTTGTTGAGCTTTGACAAAAAATTATACCAAATTTTGATATATATTATCATAAAGAATATCATAATTATTTCAAATACTAAAGGTGTATTATATCATCAAGCTAAAAATTCCATAGTAATCATGGTAATACATCTCTATTGTTTATACCATGTGTGGTAAATATCAAAGGATCAAAAGTTAATTTGAGGGTCACCACGAGTGCCAAACAAGGTGTACAGGGTATACACAGGGACTGGTAAGTAAATGTCAATCAAGTTCTAGCACCCAGTGATGTACCTTAATGCACTTGATTGACAGGGGTACACAGACCAGGTATTTTTGAAGGCGGTGCTTAAAATCTCTGCCTTTAAAGTCCACTTGACCTTGATCTTTGATGTACATTTCCAGAATAATTCGAACCATTAATTGAACTTCCATCTTTTGAATTTTCAGGTAGGGCTTCAATCACTAAGATAAATATTACATAATTATGGCCTTATAACATTGTACTTTCAAACTGTGTGATATACATAAAAATTGAAATTAATTGCATTCTGTTACTTGTGTGCAATTAAATGGAGATCAGTATACCCAATCAGGATTATATTTCATGTAAAACTGTGTGCATTATAGACAAAGTTAGCAAGAAATTTCTTTCAGGTTACATATATGAGGGATTTTCATGCACCGCCATGAATATGGCTGGGGCATACAGTGTTTCTCATTTTTGTCGTCAGTCCTTCCATCTTTTTGTCTTTCCATCCTTCTGTCTGTCTGTCCGTCTCACTTTAAAAGAAACTCTTCAGAATATTTTTATCAATGTGCTGATACACATTGGTGAGAGCTATTCAACTGCATCAACATTTTTGGACCTTGTCCTTTCTTTTGACCTTAACCTCACTTTACCTAAATTTGTGTTTTAAGCTAAGTTTCAAAGAAACTATTCAAAACATTGTTATCAAACTTCAAATACTGATACATATCGATGAGAGCTCTTCAATTACATATTTTTACCTTTCCTTTGACCTTGACCTTGTATTTCTTAAAAAATTCTAAAAATTATGTTAAATTTATGTAAATTTATGCTCAGTTTTAAATAAACTATTTAATATATTTTTATCAAACTTCATATGCTGATACACATTAATGAGAGCTATTCAACTGCATCAACATTATTGGACTTTGGCCTTTCCTTTGACCTTGACATCACTTTTCTTAAATTTATGTTTAGCTCAGTTTCGAAGAAACTATTTAAGATATTTTTATTAAATTTCCTATGCCGATACATATTGAGAGCTATTCAACTGCATCAACTTTTTTACCTTGACCTTCCCTTTGACCTTGACCTTTGACTTTACTATTTTCATCAGACTTCATACACTAAAACAAATAAGTGAGAGTTATTCAACTGAGTCAAAATTTTCAGACTTTAACCTTCCCTGTGATCTTGACCTCACTATTCCCCATTTACCCTAATCTTTAATAAAGAAGCAAGGTACATTTCTTTTTATGTTGGATTATTAATGATTCCTGGGTGGTGCATTCATGTCCTATGGACATATTTCTTGTTTAATGAAACACATACAAATAAATTAATAAATAATCATTTCAATTCTAATAACTTCTATTTGATGAATCTTGTAAGTTTTTAGGATTGAGGATTCATATTTTTATTTGATTGCCATATGCTGTTGCAGTCATTTTTCCTCTTTGGCAAACAATGAACTGATGATACATGTACTACATTGTAATTGTATATCCAAATGATACACATGTAGTTGACCACACTTCAGCTTTATTTATATCTTTAATTATTAATGCTTTTTCAGGTAACATATGCGTTCCTTGGAACACTTTAGTTATATTACAATGCATCTGTTCACCACTGGGTATATTTTAAAATACATGTACCTAGAAGATATAAAAAAGCTGATGCATGATGCTCATGTGATAGTGAAGGCCCCTTAGACATGTGTGCTGTTTTACAACCATTACACTTTTGACATATATTTTAGGCAATACAGCAATCAGCAGCCTTGCAAATCCCAGAGGAACCTCCAGAAAGTTCTAAAGAGGCAGTGGCTCGATTAAGGTTTAGAACACCTACCGGTGATGTGAAACTTCGCCGATTCAGGGCTTCAGAACCACTCAGAAATGTCCTTTTTTATCTGACATCAGAGGGCTTTCATATAGAGGATTACAAGATTCTTACAACTTTTCCTAGAAGAGATGTAAGTTGAAATCATTTCATAATTTGGCCAAGAAATGTATATATTCTGTCATGTTGCAAGATAATACATTTATAAAAATTTTATTTTGTAAAATTCGGAAACTATTGAATTTGCTTCCTTTTAGGCAAATCAAATTCCCAAAATACATGTACCATATTATTAGATTGAGAGTGAAATGGTTTAAGATGATGTTAATAATGTTTACAGATTTCACAGTTAGATGAAATGAAGACTTTAGAAGAGCTAAAATTGTACCCACAAGAGACATTGATATTGGAGGAAAAATGACGGAATGAATGTGTTCATTTGTGAATAGAGGTGTACGATGAGAGTAACTGTGATATGATTTGCTTGTTTTTAACTGCGCTGTTACATGTATAGGGATGTCAATTGAACTCCAGTAGGATCGTCAATTAATTAAGGTTTTAGTCCAAAGATAGTCAATTAATAGTGAATTTATGACAGAACACATACAAGTAATGATGGTAATCAAATTATTGTGAATGTCATGACATAATAAATGCATCCATTTACATACATATGCAGATTCTGAGATTTAAAAATGTATGAATTTAAAAAAAAAGTTGTAGTATGTTTACAAGCAGGCATGTGCTTTAGAAATAAGTTTCAGTATAACCATTCATGATGTTAAAATCTCGCATAAGCTTTCTTCAGTTCTCTACTGTCATTAGGGATGTGTTAATTTAAATTGACAGGATTTCCCTGTGCTACAACTGCAATGGAAAGATTTTTTTCATATCTGCAGACTTTAATTTGTATGACTGTATGATGAATACTTTTGTCTGAGAGTGTACATGATTTGTATTCAAATTTCAGAAAGTGAAGCTATTCTTCATGCAGAATTGACCTTGTTAAGTTCAAGTAATCATCCTTTTTGTATGAAATTAATCTCAACCATGTTAAGGCTTATTCTTAATGGACAAGCTACCCTAAGTTCCTCAAGGTCTGGACTGACACCTCATAGAACCAAGTGATTGTTTAGATAACTGCTTAGGTGTAGCTATTAAAAGAAGTACCCCCCCCCCCCCTCCCAAAAAAAGAAGAAAAATTATAATGTATAAAACTATTGGTTAATCAATAAAAATATGTAATGACTTCTAGAAATGGATGCAATGGGAAATTTTTTTTACGGCAAAAAATAATAAAACAAGTTACATAAAAATTTCTCACATATAACTATCATCAGATAATAGTTCTAAGACAATGTGAAGACCACTCTTATTTTGTTAATATATATGCATTATTCAACTAAAATCAGAATTATGATATATTCCTGGTCCAATGTAATTAATCAAGTTAAAAATATTGTAAGTTGCCGATCAGTATGTTGGAGCAAACCTACACCTTGACATCCCTGCATCTTCTTGTGATGGGTCATGTGTCAGTACAGTAATGTGATAGTCTAATTTTAAATAACAATGATAGTTTTTAAAGCAGCATGATTGTAATCTTTAAACTTACATGTATGTTGATGTCAAAGAATTAAAATGTTACAGCTCCAGGGTGCATGATGAAGATATGATCTTCATGAAAACTGAAAAGGTATAAATTGCTGTCACTGAAATATGTGTGCTAAAAAAATATGTACATGTATATTGAATTACTTTTGTTAACTGAAATTATTTACTAATAACACATGGAGTTACATTGTGATACAGAATTGTTTAGAAATTACACATTGAGTTGCAGGAATATTTGGAAATATTTTTTTTTAAAGATCTCAAAAAGTCATTTTTATAAAGACTATACCTGTCATATTTATAATACATATTGATATTGAGACAAAGGTACTTCAGTTTTTGTGGCTTTGTGAAGCTTTGGTTTTGAATTTGGGATAAACTTGATTAGTACATATACATGAACATGTTCAAAAATTGCATGGTTATAAAATTTTTACTGATGAAATCAGTCATATTTTCCAAAGCATACCAGATTCAGTCAAATTGAGTGCTGTTCTGGAAATGATGTGTATGTAAAGAAGAATATAAACTTGCTATACTGCAGTACTGCAGATATACCTCAAAATATCCTCTGGAAACATCAAAATAAAATCAAATTAAAACCCTCTTTGAAAAATATATTATTGTTGTTAAGTTATTCTGACTCAGTCTTGAAGGTATTCCATAGTTCAAGTTGTTCACATGTTTTGCTAATACTCTGGCACTGTGGATATTTAGCAGTATGCTTAAATAGGCCACTTCTCTGTTAGCTGCAGAACTGTAGCGTTATGGTTTTGGGGATGTATTTTGCCACTTTCCAGCATTGGTCAATCATTGACCTTTCATCTCCAAATTCTAGACATATTCTATAATCAACCTGTATATTTTATCCACCTCCTAACCCTTTATAGTCGTCTCTACAGACCAATAAAATTGCTTGTTGTGAATTTGTTGTCAGATGGCATAAAATTCACAACAAGCGAGTTTATTGGTCTCTATGCATCATGGGTCTTGGGAGTGTGTCAACCAAAATGTACATTGTAAGTCCATGACCTACTTCAGAAATTTCAAGGCAATGTCTAAATATTTCAAATAATAAGAGACTAAGACTAAGAATCATCAAACTTGACTACCTACTTTTGATATTTCATAGCTACATCTAAATATTTCAGAGGAGCTTCTAAACAGGTAAATAAAAAACCCTTGAAAATCCTATTCCCATTTGGAGGAGGACAAACAGCCTATAAATTAACATTCTCCTATTAAAACTACAGGAAAAGACCATTCTTTAAAAAAGAGCCCCAATCTCTCTCCTTGTGCTACAGGCCTGCATTCATATTACATACTGGAGAGAGGGCATGCAAACTGTGTAATAATTTTCTGGCCTTGAATCTACTCGGATATAACTTTGGCCCTTACATTAAACAGCTTTGACGAATGAGAGTATTCATGAATATACATTGAGAGTGTTCAGATACAAGACCTGGGATTAGGGGGTTACAATTGCACCCCTCCTTTCGAATAAAGGCTAAAAATATCATTTTCGAAAAAAGGGTTCGTTATTCATTTGATTAAAGTAACACTGCTAAAATTTGCTTATTATAAATACATGTATATAAAAAGATGACTTCAAGAGTGCTGTCATAAATAGTGCCCATTTGTAAAACATTTCGAGCTCAGAGGCATATACTGATGAGCAGTTCATACATCATTGGTAAAAAATGAATCCTATTACATAACTCATGCAATAGACCATCAGTATTGAATTATTTTTTAAATGTGCAAACGGTTAATGTTTAATCGTCTGTACTTCAACTTACCAATTTGTCTAATAATAAAGGTACACTTCGTTATTTATAAAGGAGCTTGGGCCTATGGGACCGAGATTGGTTTTAGTCTTTACAAAAAAGCTTGTCGATTATCGTTCTGGTCAATTTCAAAATGTAGAGATAGAAGGAACTTTTTCATAGACATCAACGATGAAGCATGATATTGTCAATTAACGCATTTTGAGATTGTTATTCTAGTGCATTTATATACTATACAATATAGAAATCCATCGCAGCTCATTGCAGAGGAGAATACCTGTATCGAATAACACATAGAGAATAATTCTTGTCCTCGAAGAATGTGTGCTATAGTATAATACTGAGGTATAATTTTCCCTTTCTACACATTACTTTGAGAATTCAGACATTTTGGTGAGCATTTTCAATTACCCAACTCCGGAACCTGAGGATCCTACTACCTTAAGTGTCTTTTATAACAAGAATGATCATGCAAAAAAGATTGATAGTTGAAGGAAAATACACAAGCCACTATAATAAAAAATTGAAATAGATTTTGAAAAGGCGAGAATCTAAAACCAGAAAAGTGTGGCACCAGGTGGATTTGAATCATAACTCTAAAATTAAAGCAATATGAGCTGCAATTTTGAGAATTTTATTTTGCTGTTAAAATGTGCTGTTATGACAAGTCTGTATGTAATTTAAACCTTAGTGATCAGACTAAAATAACATATTAAATCCTTTTTCCGAAGAAAGATTTCTGTACAATGGAATATAAGAAATCAATATTGTACAGGACGACAATAATGTAATTTTGCTTCAATCAAAGCTTATAATAGTTTTTCATCGCAAATACGAACAATAGAGGTTTATAAACTTTCTTTTTTGTCATTGAAATAGTTAATTACAATTTTGCAACAAAAATTTCCAACATCAAAGTTGCAGCTCATATTGCTTTAAGTACCCGCTGAATTAATAGTCGGCTGTTATACCATTTGAGATATTCTGGCTATGGAAATACAATTATGAATCAGTTACAGTTTTTCTCATTATAATAAGGCGGGGGGGGGGGGGTTATAATGATGGAGGTGTCCGTCTGTTACGCTTTGGGGTACCAATCTCTTATCCGCAACTCCTCCTTTACCACAGAATAGAATTTAATGAGACTTTCATAGAATTTTTGTTACTTAGTGCCATTGTGACCTCGTATTTCACTTTTTGATCGGTCTTATATTTCTGGTTTCCCGTAGCAAAGTTAAACATAGACACTGCCATTCTTTCTATAATATTTAGGGGTACTCATCTCTTATCTGCAACTCCTCCTATACCACTGAATAAAATTTAATGATACTCTCACAGAATCCTTATTACATGGTGCCATTGCGCACCTTCTATTTTACTGTTTGATTGGACACATATTTTGGGTTTCCCATAGCAAAACATAGACACTGTCATTCTTTATATAAAATCGGGGGTACCCATCTCGTATATTCATCCATGGCCGTAGGAACCGGGGGGGGGGGGGGGAGGCACGGAGGGCCGTGCCCCCCAATAATTTTGCCGATATATAGATTACTATAGAAAACATACATACTTTAGGTTTGTGCCCCCTCAATCAAAACGCCTGATGACCTTTTTTTTTTTTTTTTGCTTGTCAAGAATTTTTGGTAGTTGATAGTGCCCCCTCAAACTGAAAATGTATGGCTGTGCCCCCCCCCCCCCCCCAAAAAAAAAAAAACTGAAATTGCTTCCTACGGGCCTGTGACATCTGCTCCTTTACCACTGAATAAGATTTAATAAAACTGTCACAAATTCTTTATTACAAAGTGCCATAATGACCTTTTATTTTACATTTTATTGGACACATAATTCAGGTTTCCCATAACTAAACATGGACTCTGCCATTCTTTCTATAATATCAGGGAAACCCATTTCTTATCCGGAACTCTTCCTATACAACTGAATAAAATTTAATGATACTTTCACATAATCTTTATTACACAGTGCCATCGTGCACCTCCTACTTTATGTTTTGACCAGACAGATATTTGGGCTTTCCCATTGCAACAAATGGACTTCGCCATTATATTCAATTACTCATATGGGAGTGGGGGTATGATTTTGTGAGCTCAGTGCTCGCAATACCTCTAGTTTTTTTTTTTTTTTTTTGGTAGGTTTTTTGTGAATTTCGACCCTAGGACAGGAGTGCCCCTAAAAAAATCCTATCTTACATTATTCCTTCGATCACAACCTATCAAAATGTCACAATTTCATTTAGGGGTAGCCCTGCCCTGAATGACTTTTAGCTTGATATAAAAGATACCAAAGATTCTGACACATCTGTTTAATATTTGGATATTTTACTAGAAAAAGACGTTAATGGTAACCTAACAACAAAGCTTTATGATAAACGTAATGATTTCAACTTTTCAATCGTCAGCTTCCCTTACTTATGTAACAAAACACCCTTATCACCTGCATATGGGGTTTATGTCTCTCAGTTGATTCGATACGCAAGAGCATGCTCTACGTATCCCGGTATGAACAATTTCTAAAACGAGGATTGACAAACAAGTTGACGAAACAAGGATATCAAAAGTCTCGTTTGAAGTCATCTTCTCGCAAGTTTTTCGGTCGATACAATGACCTTGTCAGCACATACAACTATCATTGAGTCAAATGCTGACTGATTAGTTTTTCATACTAATTGTTAGGCCATCGGGAAACAAAAACCGGAAAAACCCGTAGACTGAACTGTCCACGGGTTTTTACGGTTTTTGTTTCCCGATCATGACAAGGAGCACACGGCGGGTGTGACCGGTCAGCAGGGGATGCTCACTCCTTCATGGCACCTGATACCACCTCTAAATTTTAAGGTCCATGTTTGCTCTGTTCCTAATTTGTATCGTTTCATTGGACTTTCGAGATTGAATACTGTCCGTTCTCTTCGTATTGCATTAGATCATAATTCATTGGGGGGGGGGGGGAATGCTGTTTTAGCCAACTTTGGAGGATAATTAAGTTACAAATAAATTTTAGATTCAAAATGCAAATTTGAAAAATAAATAGATCAATATACTTAAAAAAAAAAAATTAAATAATGCACACAAACTTGCATTCCTAATAATGAACTAGAACTTATCTGAAAATGACCATGCACCTATAATATGATCGACTATAGTTTCGATTTAGATTATAAAGACCATTACATTTTCGATATAGCAAATTGAATTAGACAAAAATTGTTGTCTCACTTTTAAAAGAAATCAACTTCCGTAACGATGATTAAAGGGGCCTGGACACAAAACTTTGCATTGTTTACATTTGAAATTGCTATGCTTATTAAAAAAATAAAACCAGTTAAATGAATTGAACTTACATGAATATTCTTTGAATTCAACGACAACGACATTCTTCTTTACATCACGTCAAACATCTGTTACTGTAAATAGGGCACGAGCTCTGTTATTGTTAATGTTACGTTTCACCGGGTGTGTTCAATCTGTTAAACTCTGAACACATCACTGAGCACAGACTGACAAAACTGGTGAGTCGCTTTTGCTTTCTCATTTTTCTACTCTGAATTTTTTGGATTATAATTTTATATTTTTCCTCCATATACAACGAAATTTCTACTTTTCTTAAGTATTTAGGAAATGTTTACTTGTTGAAAGTGCAAGGATGTGTCAATCAAACGCGTCCCTAAATTAGTAGTTTCAATAATTTCCAGATAAAAAGATTTCCGTGTGAAATGCTATATCAACAAATAAGTTATGATATTACACAGAAAATTTGAGAAAATTAACTTCAAATCTGTGTCCAGGCCCCTTTAATGAATGTTTTTGCATTTAA